GTTTCTCAGAGCTAAGACCCATAGGGACGTACTTCTGGATGTCTTTTATATTCGTGATGAAGATAAAAACATGGGATAAAGGTTGCCCAAAGATTTTGCCTTACCCTTATCGGAGGGGGCCTGATTGACCAGATGCGCCTGGTTCGCGATCCGGCGGAAATCCGATCGTTTGCATTTCACTACTCTTTCCCTGTATCTTAAGCCTTCAAATTTCGATCTATAAAACAGTCCAAAATGATCCATGAATTCTTTCCTCTCATACTTACTCGAGAAGTAACGAGAAAAAGCAAGTAACGCAAGAGCGACGAGAGTATTGCTTCAAATGGACTCCGTTCGGTCGACGGCAGTTGGTGGTGCTTTGGAAAATTAGGGGATTAAGGGCTGACCCAGATGTCAGCATTACTATTCAAAGCACAAAACTTTGTCGATTTATACTGGTTGATGACAATCATAATACCCGTGACTTTTCATAATCGGAACAATCTCCTGAGTTCATTGCCTCTTAGCCGCTACAACCACGATGATCGATGTAATTAACTTGTGAGAGGCACGCTCTTCGGTGGGTAAATAATGTCACCTCAGGGACCAAAAGACCCGACACCCTTGGACAATGTGATAATGCTGACGGCAAGAGAATGGCTTCAGGTTGACGCACAGTGAGAAAAACCCGGTAGCAAAGGAATAGCTGGCGATATGCAATAAGTAAAACTTTATAAAAAGGTGAAGTTTTCTCATTTCTACACAGATAATACAACTTTCCAATTTGTTTTGGGGTTCCTCATCAAAGTCAGATAGAACAACACAATATCTGAAAAAAAAAAAAAAAACACTAAGAAGTGGCCCGAACTGTATGTAACAAGGTGGAGAAATGGTGCTGGGTCCACACCATTTCGCGGGGAAACAGAGCCAAAAAATTCCAAAAATTAAAATTAGAGTCAAAATTAATTTAATTAAATTTGACTTAGAATCAAAATTAATTGAGTTAATTTTGACTCTAATTTTAATTTTTGGAATTTCTTGGCTTTGTTTCCTTGCGAGATGGTGTGGACCCAGTACCATTTCTCCACCTTGTTACAACATAATATGTATACATACTAAAAATTTCCAAAACCAACTGCCGCGAAAAGCAATTCACATTCTCATATCTCTTGACTGGAACATCCCGTTCAAAATTGCATGAAGTATGTTGTAAGCTGAACTAACTTTGACGTACTTACTTTTCATATTATCATCTTGTTTTGTCAAATCCATAAGTATTGTGTACCGAAGAAGGAAACATTTCTTTCAAAACCTGACAGGGGTAATTTTCTAAAAGTATGGAATCACGCTCGACGGCAACTTTCAATTTCTTGTAAATTGAGCTCCATACTTTTAATTGGTATTTACATTTCTATTTTATTTCATTTTCACCAAGCAGGATGTTTAATTTGCCTTGTGTTTTATTGGTGTAAAATTTAAGTGCTACAGTAACACGCTTAAGCATTGATTTTGAAATTATTGTCATCTATAGTTACTTTGCTCCATAGAAGAACGTCGTATGAACATGCGAGAGTTGCCAAATTTCTCCGGAAAAAACCTGCATTTTTTGAGGAAATCTACGCATATTTTCCCTAGAAATTCTCAGATATTTTAGATTTAGTTGCAAATAATATTGTCTGAAAATTTTGAAGAAAAATATTCAACATTTTCTCAGTAAAATCAATTTTTATCGAGGGAAATATGACAACGTCTGAAAGCTCATACGGCGTTCTTCCTTAGCACGGCAGAGTGTTCCAGTGCCTGTTTGTCTTGCGTGAAATATCGACGCAAACACACTCTTGGTTCTTGCTCAAGGATGCACCCCACTAGCGTGCGACGCGGAACATTTCCGCGATTGTCGACTCTTCGATGAAGGAAACCGCAACCCCTGTCCCTAGGGGCCAAAGGGGGGTGGTGGCTCAATTCCTGTGCAAGACCGATCGCTGCGTTACGGTGCGTTTGTGAAAGCATGTGGCTTGTCCGATAATCACTTGTTCTCCTCCATTATTCGAGGGCAGATTTGCCAGATTTAGTTGCAATACACGTGTCATACGCGAGTATAGAGCCGATTTCTATCCTTAATGTAACTTATTATTATTCAAATATTAAGAAATTTGTGTTATCTGCCAGCTGAAGATTGAAGTGCAAACACTCCGAAACGCGTCCCTTGATGATAAACCCAAGTGCAAGTGAGTGCGCAAATTTTTTTTTTATTCATTTTCATTCAAATGTTGACAGACTTCGAAGTTATGCAAGGTTTAAACTTGCATATTTGGATTTTTCCGTTTTTGAAATTGCGAAAGATCTGAGCACATAGAATATTCTGTACGTATAGGTGGCGAGCTCGCAAGCTCACCAGAGCAAAAAAGGGCTTCCTTTCCTCTTGTCTCTATGAATGCATGTTAGAGCTGGTTAGAACTGAGCAAATGGGATGTATCTGCGTTAGGACTTTTGAAAAAGAACCTATCTGCCTTTCAGACGAACTCGCTAAAAATTGTATGTTTTCCATGCTTCAGACCTTTGACAAGTTAAAGCCCGTGGCAAAACTGATAAACCTTCCTAACGATGCCACCTAAGACTTTAAGTAATGTATATATCAGCTAGTATACAATGCGTGCATTGATCCGATAGTGGGTTTCTCTGTAGGACAACCTTCCTCCTGGTTTCTTGGGCTAGGCATGAATTGGAACCCAATTTGAAGGAGTTAGAGCCGGGGGTGGTCTGGTCAGGGGTGCTAGTGTGCTTTAGCACCCCAAAAATCCTGAAGAATGGCTTAAAGGGCCCCGGCACTTCGGCAGAACTCTTTTAAGGGGCCGTAAATCATGTAAAACCCACATCGAGGAGGACTTTAGGTTAGTTAGGGGGGCCCCACTCGAGAGAAGGGGTCCCAAAATAGTATCACTTGACCCAGGAAACATAGCTACCACACGGAAAAAAATTAAATGTTGATTCAGCATTTATATTGTTAAAAATATGTCCGACAAGTTTCAAATGCTGATTTTACATTTGGAGAAATCCTAACTTAACTACGCCCACTGTAAAACGAACAAATTCAAATGTTGTGCTAGCATTTTTGCATTGTAAAATCAGCATCTGAATCTTGACACGCTTTTTTTTAACAATTTAAATGCCAAATCAGCATTTGATTTTTTTCCGTGCACTATGCACCCGGGTTGGCATGCTTTAACCCTTATACGCCCATGCCGGGTTAAATTGACTCGATCCCGAAGCTTGCTAAAAACACGTGCTCCGCGAGATATATGGGGCCGGTTCATACAAACTTTAGATATGGTCTACAAATACATTCTGAAACAAGAATCAAACATAAAAAATCGATTATCAACACATCCGAAAATAGGTAAGACGTATTGGGGCCTAGTTGTTTGACTTTTTTCCCGAATCCGAGCGACACCTCATTGACAGTATAGGTAGAGCGAAGCATTTGCGAGTTCATGCTTCGCTCCTTCGAGCCTTCAATTTTGCAGACGCAACACGGACATCCATCAAGTACGAATAGTTGTATCTCTGCGCCGTCATCAACGCATTTTTCCCTTGCTCTAGTTTTATATTGTGGTGGTTCTGTTTGTTTCATTTGTAGTGATGCTTCAAGGGGTATGTGAGCACCACAGCCGGAGGTAGGTGAGACGTAATCGGCCACTATTCTTTACTTTTCTCCCAAATTCGAATAACACCCCACTAGCAGCATAGATCGGAGCTTTGAGAGCTCACGCCTCGTATTATCGCGCCTTCAATTTCGTAGATGCAACACGGACGTTCATCAAGCACGAATAGTTGTATCTCCGCACCGTTTTCCTTGCTCTGCTCTATTTCCAATTTGTGTTGGTTCCGTTTATTTTATTTGTAGTGGTGCTTCAATGGCTATGTGAGCAACATAGCTGAAGATAGGAGAGACGTAGTCTGGTCTAGCTTTTTACGCTAATCATCCATAAAAATGCAGGCCTTTTTTTGTCATTTTGGGAAATTTCGCCGTGAACCGCAGCAAAAATCCTTTTTTTGGAATTCTATTGACGGGTTCAATGTAAAAAGCGCTCACTTTTAGCCGAGCACTTAAAATGCTGTCACACCGGAATTTGAAAGTGGTGTTTGATCGGAGCATGTACATTACTCTATATAAAGCTGCTGTTCCCACTCACTCTGCCCCCCCTAGATAAAAATTGGCCGAAGCGATTTCCTTTAAAATTGGTACACGCTTAGCTATTGTAATGAGGAGTTGATTAAAATTATTCCNAGGTCCGATTTTCAAAATTCAAAAATCCAAGATGACGAACGTGGTCTAAATTGCTATCTAGGCTTCCGATCCATCGATTTTTGTGAAATTCGGTATTAGGAGGTGTATTTCGACGGAAAACTCGCATTTTTGGTCGGATTTTCATTATTTCCAAATCCAAGATGGCGGCCTCGCACGAAAACGCGGTCCGGACTCCTAGAACATCAATTTCTGTAAAACTTGGTGAAAAAGAAGATTAAGATAGATGTTGTCTCCTCATCAATAATAAAAACTGTGCGGGGCGGTGGCGGCTCGCGGAGCGAGTCGCAAGTTTATCGCGAAGCGAGGAGGGGGTCCAGGGGCACTCCCCGGCTAGGCGTGACAGCTCGCAAGGCGAGCTAATCACGGCTAGTTCTACGTATATGAACCTGACATTTGTGGCGTTAACAAACCGGGCTTTTGAACTTTACACATAATATAAAAGTGCCAATTCAAGATAAGTATTCTTAGTTGATGCTACGGAAATGTAATCTTTTGGAAACGCTCCGAAAATATTTTCTTCGATTCTCATCCGCACAGTGAAATACTGTGTCCAAATGGTCGTGATGCACTATAAAGAAAAGTTGGCAACAACCTGCATCGCCACCCCTCTGGATTGTCATTTTCTCTTCACATTTCACGTATAAAAAAGAAACAAAAAATTCACGCTAAAAAATTGTCATAATCTCGAATCCATTTGCTGTTCCGAGAGATGTGCTCTCCGATTTTTGTCCGTGCGGGGCAGATCGATATTCCTGCATTTCTTTATGTCTCTTGCGCAAAGCTTAAGCAGTCACGTACGGAGTCCACGTCAAATAAGTTTGCGCACTTTTACACAGCGACAGAGGATCGTCTAACGTCATTTCCCTGTAAGTAATTGCCAGAATCAAGACTGTGGATCTTCTGTCGCGGTCTGAGAGCACGTGCACTTAGTTAGCGTGGACTCTAAAAGTAAGTTAATGTTGTACATGTTGTAAAATGTTAGGACGCGGTATTTTTGTGCTCATCGATAATTGTGCCCCATAAAATGTGAACGTCAGTGACGTAAAGAAAGTGGATTAATTACGCTCTTTGGAATCAGGCTTCGACATGAAAGGTTTAGGTAAGAAATTAATATTTTTCTAAGCATAAAGGTTTAGTGCAGTTCAAAGTTAAATACCGAAAGGTATTTTGAATGATCCTTCAATCATAAGTTATTGCAAGCCTATGATTTCAAGTTTATTCATCACGTTTCAAAGGAGGAAAATCCTCTACTTTCAATTTCAAAACCTTCCACCTCCGAGGAGTCAATTACCAATCCGTTTTCTCTACAGACGTGCCAAAAAATTTGACTTTTTCACTTCATTTCTTCAGTTGCCACCTTAAGTTACGATCCTCTTTGCTGATCTGACCGAAAAAAAGTTACCAAAAGTGATTACGTAGCATGGTGTCAACGATCATGGTGTCAACGAACAGTTTTTCTAAATTTTTGTTGAAGCAATTATGATCATCCAAAACTACAAAATTCTGACTCCTTTGAAAGATGATCACGGTGTCAACGATCACGGCGTCAGCGAAATTTAGAACTTCCCTCCGGGTATAACATCTTTCAAATTTCAAGTCTCGTTTTTTGTGTTATTTACTCTAACCAAACCTAACCTAACCTTACTCAACTTTATCTAACCTTACCTAACTTTACCTTACATGACCTAACCCACTTTCACAGAACTTAACTTTCCCCGACCTTACCCCACCTAACTTTAACCTTACCTATACCCAATCTAACCGTACATGTCCTGACCTAAATTAACCCAATCTAACAATACGTGACCCAAACCTCTCCTGTGGACTTATTTTTTTAATTTTACTTGTAAGGAAGATATTTTTCTGTTTGTTGACACCTTGCTCAGGGCCCATTTTTGCGTTTCACTGCCTGAGGACGACGTCAACAATTGTTGACTCCACGATCAGATTTTGGGTTTGTTGACACCATGCAACATTACCTCCAGAGTAACCTTAAACACGGAATTTGTTAACTGCACGGAAAAAAAAAATTGCTGATTCAACAATTCAATTGCTAAAAACAGTGAGTGCAATGTTTCAACGCAGATTTTACAACAAAAAAATGCTACTTTAACTACCCCTGTGGTTAAATTCGTTTACAATGTGGATATAGTAGCATTTTTTTGTTGTAAAATCTGCGTTGAAACATCGCACTCACTGTTTTTAGCAATTGAATTGTTGAATCAGCAATTTTTTTTCCGTGCGTGCAGCCATCCTACTGTTGCTGTTGAGCTTGATAGAATTGGGCTCCATGGGTGTCATCGGGGGCGGGGCCTCCCGGAATGGGCGCAGAGTGGGCTGCACAGGAGTGTTCGGGAGGGTGTTCAACTTGTCACGATCGACACAAGGGACAAGTGGAAGGTCGGACTCTTTAAAACGGCAAATTTCGCGACGGCCCTCCATCCGCCTAATGGAACTCGACTTTAATCCTGGGGACACGGTTCTGATCTCCGTCCTCCGCCCCTCCAGAGCACCCTCTTCACCGTACCACAAGATGTTCGCTATATCGTCCGACGAGCTGTTTGAAGTCGCCGGTCTCGCATTTTGGACCACGCCGTACATGACGAAACGCGACGAGTTCGCTGCTTCAATCAAGGCCAATGTCATCAAACCAAGGCCCGACATGTAAGTGAACTTTATTTTACGAGAAGGAGCCAAGATATCAGCAAACTGCATGATACTAGAAAACTTAAGACTGTATCAGACGGTCATTGGGTAGGTAAATTATTGACTTCAAAAAGTGTGGCTAGTTTTGGCCACATAGTTTTCTCGTTTTAGAAGATATGATCGAGTTTTAGTACACTTTGGTTGGGATATTTCTTATCTTATTTATTTTTGAACCTCTAAAAAATTTTATAAAATTTTGAGATCCTCATTAGATAAGGCACCTCCTCATGAGAAAATTTTCATGTAAGTGGAAGCAATGTCCTCAGGACAGTGATCTTACAATGAATCTATTTTTAGACGTATTGAGATAACATATTTAATCAATAATTACTATATTATAAACAATTATACACTATATTACCATATAAATCACTATAATGGGCCTGTTGCATGCAAGAGATACAGCCGCGCGAATAGACTTTTTAAAGGTTAAATGACACGAAAATTACAATGGTCACATTAAAAAAGTCTGAAATACACTCCTTACTGCGCACTTTGCGTTGTTAGGAGCGCGCTTTTTCAAATTTCCCGCGTCTGGGGGCAGTTTTCTAATCACCGGGAACGAGCAAACGGCGGGCTCGGTGATATCCGGAAGATGCCGAGTCGTTGTTGTTGTTGTTATTTTTTCCTTCAGTTTGTTTACAAACCCAAAGTGATCTCCTATAGTGGTCTATATACGCTTTATGCGGTAACGAAATCGATCAACTTTTAAATATCCAACGCAATCCCTCTACATTTCATTTCACGATGTCACGAGCTCCGATTTTTAGGTTATGTTGTCAGTTTTAGTTGACCGGAAATAGCCGCGAGTTGCCGTTAATTGTTTCCGTTAGAAAACTGCCCCCAGGCGCGGGAAATTTGAAAAAGCGCGTTCCTAACAACACAAATTGCGCAGTAAGGAGTGTATTTCAGACTTTTTTAATGTGACCATCGTAATTTTCGTGTCATTTAACCTCTAAAAAATCTATTCGCACGGCTGTATCTCTTGCATGCAACAGGCCCATTATTATATTATTAATATATAATATCTAGCTTCATTCTCGGTATGCAAATTCTTAGAAATTTTTTGAGTGAGACGTGCCACAATTTTTCATTTTTTTATCCCTCCCTTTGGTATCGCACTTTTAAATCCATAATGGAGGACAGTTCCACCTGAGATAACCTCCCCCTACTCTCAAATACTTAACGTAATCTTAAATGACTTCTAGGGGCCGTTTGTGGAAAGCTAAAGCTAAGGTTGAGACCAATTGGATTCCATTTTGCAAAAAGGAACCACTAGCATTGCAATGATGCTAAGATTGTGCAACTTCATCTTTTGCAATAAAATTGCGGAAATCGTGAAAAACTATGAAATTTAGATGGTAATTTTTGTCTTAAATTTACAGTTTTTAGCGAGTAAAATAGAAACTATGAATGGATAATCGGGTTTTTCCTCCAAGACAAAAGAAGTTGCACAATCTTAGCAACATTGCAATGCTAGTGGTTCCTTTTTGCAAAATACAATCCAATTCATCTCTTGAATTTTGATTTATGCACTTGACCCCTCTTCGTTTAAATATCTATAATTATATAAGTATAAGCAGATAGGATGTTGATAACTTGAACTCAGATAATTAAATCAATGAAATTGGGAAACAAGGATTAAACCAGTGGAAAACCCAAGACGTTTCGGGGCTGCACAGCCCTGGTAAAAATTGGCGATAAGAGCTGCGTTTCAAAATACCAAAGGAATTCTTATAGCCGGCTAAAGAAGGCTACAGAAAATCATATAGCTGGTTGTAGTATGCGGAGAAAATCATACGGCCAGGCTATACGAAGCGATAAAAAATTATGCAGCCGGGCTATAGTTCCTATCGCCGGGCTTTACTTTTTATCGCCTGGTTGTTGCTTTTTCGCTATTAATTATAAAAGGCTATAAGAAATTGTGTAGAAATTCGTGTGCTTTAGAAATCATTAAGTTTGATAGTTTGATACGGAACCACCTTAATATTTACAAAACAAACACACGTTATATTTTCCTTTAACACATATTTTTTTCATCAATTAAAACGAGAATAATCCATACAGGATGCGCAAACATTTCAAAATCATGAGTTGAATAACGCTGACTCCGCGAGATTAAATATTAGAGCCTAACACAAAGCGGAGCGGCGACGCACTGGCGCCTACAAACCTAACAGGGATACTTCACGCATTGCGCAACGCGTGAAGTATCCCTGTTAGGTTTGTAGGCGCCAATGCGTGTTTTGCGCTGGCTGCCCGCCTGCCACGGTGCTTGAAGCAACTATTTCACACCAGAGGTATTGCACAGTATCATACGAAACTGAAGGCGCTCTAATATATTAGTAATGGCAGGCATCCATCAAAAGTACGGAGCTTTCCTTGCAAAATAAATCAAGGTACTACGGCCCAAAAAGAGAGCAGTATTCCAAAAACTCACTAAGTCCTAGCATCCGTAATCAGTAACGTTTAGCATACACTTTATCGCCTGGCTGTTGGTTAATCGCCATCGGCTATAAAAGGCTATAAGAAATTGTGTTGCCGGCTATAGAAGCTATTGGAAATCTTACAGCCGGCTGTAGGTCTATGGTATTTTGAAACATAGATTCTACTGCCAATTTTTACCAGGGAGCCCCGTTTTCAATCAGTCAAAAATAACAAAAAATACAAAACAGAAGCTTAAAAAAATGGAAAAAAAGCAAAATGGAAGCTAAAGTCTGTAAATTTTAGACATAGAGTGGAGTAAACAGACTGAGAAATCGAGGTTAGCCAACCGACATCGATCACGGGCCGAATCCTTAAACCAGTGCCTTGGAAAATTGTTGGTAGGCCACCCCTAATTTATCCTCGTTTGCACGGTTATTACAAACATTCTTGTGGTTCCTTAGGATGAAAACAATCTCCTTTTATACATATCTATACTTATATTACACCCTTATAACTTCAAAAATCTATTGTTAATCTAATGTTTGACAGCAGTAGCTAAAAATGTGCTTACTTTCGTAATGATTTTGTTTCAATAGACCTAATTTCATCGAAAAAGGAGTGAAGATAGCTCGCAGAATGGTCGGCGTCAAAGTGACTTATTGGTATAGACATTGCAATTGTTACCATTACTCCGACTACCTAACATATGGACAGACGTTTGGATCATCGGATAATTTTTTTTACCAGCCTGCGAGCGATGATTGTCCAGTTTTCGCTACAATCACATCTGAGACGGACGTCTCATCTCCTGAATTTACACTGAAAACCAAAAAAGGCAAGCCAGTCATACTCAATCCCTTACCTGACGAATGATGGTGGCTGCTTAAATGGAAACAACTTGAATGGTTCGCAACATCGAAGACTCCGTCGTGGAAACCTGTTAATTCTAACAGCTAAGGACATCTAAAGAATATAATGAAAGATTGTCGAAGACCCCTCTCCCCCCCCCCCTNTTGGAATGGCTTTGTGACTGAAGTTGCCACTTGTTGAAATCGAAAGCTCTTCAACAATGATATTACACAAGGAAAATACAGGGCATTATTGAAAAATTCGAAGTAGAAAATTATTGTCTTGTTTAATTTTCAGTAGTAGTCATCATAGTATCTACTAATCGTTTGCACTCATGAGATTTAATAAAGAAATTAATCGGCGGACAAATAAAAAAACTCGTTTTTCTTATCCACTTTTCCATTGCCACCATGGAAAAATCTAAAATCTTACCTCTTATTGTCACCTGATTGACAGACGAAAAGAGCCGATTATTGTAAATCCAATGAAGGAATAATAAAATCTTAAATAAAGTCAAAAGACAAGAAGACCCTTTAGAATTTTACAAACGAAAAACTTCAAATATTTTTATTCGTTACATTGGGGAGATTTTGAAATAAATAAATCTTTAAATATAATGAAATGAATTAATTAAAACAAGAGCAGCCGCATGTTAGGTAAGGAAAATTCAAAGGTAAGTTATATGGAATATTGGTATCATCGTGAAAAACACTAAAAATAGCTTTGTATCAAACCGGGAGCTAGAGGTTACATTGACGCTTTATCAGTTTGCCTTCAATGTTTAGTGTAGGCAGCTTGAGTTCCCACGTGGTCGAATAGTGATATCATCATGAAATGTTATACGTGCGACGCTCATTGTGCGAAGAGCTTCTAACCAACTGGGAAAAGGTTACTTTCATTCCCTATCAGTTTGCCCTCAAATTTTTGGTGTAGGCAACACGATTTCTCACGTGGTCGAAATGTGGTATCATCGTGAAATGAAACTTTCACTCGGGACACGTTCTAGGTAAGAGTTTTTTTACAAAACGGCAAGAGGTTACTATGACCTTAAAGTAACCTTTTTTGGTTTGCCTTCAATTTTAAGTGTAGGCAACACGAGCTCCAACGTGATCGAATAGTGGTATCATCCTCGTGTAACAATCAGGCGGTTTCCATCGGCGAATCCATTGTACTCACGATAACATAGAGGAATACTTCATGGAGTCGGCGCTATGAGCCCGTTCCATGATAATACCTGTTACTTACTTGTTAATCTTACAATTTTTTAATCCTTTCCGCACAATCGTGTTCCTCTAAACGGACAGAATAAGATTTTAAAATGAAGGAACATACCTACAATAAAGAATCCCTTCGTTAGTGCGCAGTATCCATAACACATTCACAGAGAAACTGCACGAAAACGTATCTCGGTTTGCGATACTGCAGACTTCCGCATAATTTATTTTTTCAACGGGAAAGGTACACAACGTCTTGTCTTGAAAATGGCTCTGCCAATCAGAACAGTTTTTCTTGAATTTGCTGTCTTGCAGAACTGGAAATCGATTGAAAACGCAGGGCCTATTCTTTTCGATGCTTCCATTTTACCCGTGAAAAATGACTTGGATGTGCTGGAAGTAGAAGCCACCGTAACTGTAAGTAGAGTGTTGGTTTCAGATCAATCGACAAATTACATTCCTTAATCCGAGACGCGGGGCACTAGAACACTTCTGAGGGCGAACCTGAATATCCTTTCACGTTCATCCCAATGGCCCCGAAACAAGGATGGAAGATACGCTATCGACGGAGGAGCGAAAGAGACAACACCAGTCGCAATGAAATAATAGCCGTAAATCTCCGTTAATCCGTCCTTAAATCCTTTACTCTCCTGGCCATTCTTCAACCGCTCCTCGGAGTAATTCAGGGAGAGGTCCAATATTTATGGGCCGCGCTTTTCCGGGGGAAATAATTCGTCCCCGCACTCTGTTGATTTCGACCAGATTCCGCCCCACCTAGAGCACTTCTCCTCGATTAAAATCATTCGACCAATTATTTCAGCGAGAGTTTGTTTCTTTTATTCATACCTTCTTCGGGCTGATTATTGAAATTGGACGTATTTCTATCAAACGGACCTAAGCGCCATAGGGTGAGGAAGGTAGAGGGGGGCTTGGACTGGCGGCGGAATCGGGCGTCCGGCTTATTCCGTCCTATACTCGCAATGCTTTTCCATGGCGCTTAGGTCCGTTTGACAGAACGCGCTATCCAGGGTTCTAAATTCCTCAAAAGGAGCTCAAATTGGCGCTTGGTTCCGTTTGATAGAAATACGTCCAATTGATGTACAGAGCGATTGACAAAGAAGACATGGGTAGTACGGAGAGATCCTATTGGTTGAAATTGTGGTTCCTATAGACTAAGAAAGAAAATTATGGACTAACTTTAGGGTCTCTCGTGAGTTACCGTTAGTTAGTCTATTACTTACCTCCTTTGCCAATAAATTGCAACCGCCGGCTTCTACCAATAGGATCCCTCCTTATCCGTTTTGTCTTCTTTGTCTATCGATGTCAATAATCGGCCGTCTGGATTTTATTGTTTCGATGTTTTAATAATGACTAAGCATGCGTGCACAGCAATGGTGAGGCGTAAATGATCGATTATCGATGTTCCCCATTTAAAGTAATGGTAAATAATCGATTATTACGGTGTTCGTTGCTAACATCCTGTTCATCGATCCTTTCCCACAGGTTTAAATGGCAAAAGACATTCGGTTCTCATCATAATTCAGAAAAAAGCATTTTGACCTCTAAAAGAACACTAATGGCCCCCTGAGTATTGATCAAGCAGGCCAAAGTGGCCCTAATATTTCCTCGTGAGATTCAACATCTAATAATGGCGCAAGTACGTCACAAAGATAATACCAGGAATAGATGCGCATCTCCATTCGCCACATTCACTAGTTTCATGGCCTGGTTACACGCTCAAATTTCCGTCAGAAAGATGACCAAGATGGCGGTCGAGAGTTTTCTAGATTGATGAGTAAAATTAATTAAAACAGCGTGTTGATTGGAATAAGCATGAAATAAGCACGGTTGTGTGGAAATCAGATGAAGGATGAGCCCCATAGCTTCATCATCTAGGTACCATCAAATTTTTGCAGGCCGCAGAAATTTCATGGTAGATGGTGCGCACCAATCACCATTTGATCGGAAATTGATGGAAATTTGAGCGCGTAACCAGCACATCAGAGATATTCCAAAGCTGAGGCTATTCACGCAAGTTGGCAACACCGGGATTCTTCCTCTTTAATATGCGTAAAACTATCGATATTTATCGAGGCCGACTAAAATATCTTGAACCGATTATACATAATAGATTTAAATGCAGGATAAACATTTTTACCGCCTTGAAAATTTGCCACTATTGGGATTCTTTCGGTCGTCACCAGCACCTTTTAGTAAGGATGATTTGAAAACAAAACGAGTTGAAATTTTTGGCCGTCTTTTTCATGGGCCCTTTAAAATTTCCCTGGGGAATCCAATTAAAAGTTCAAATCCACGCGTGAAAAAACTTACTGCGTCAGTGTGAACACTGACAGACACATTCGGTCGGACGGTTCGAGCGAATAAAAAAGTGCCTTCAATTTTTAGTGCGACCACACCAGACGCAAAAGCTCGATAAGTTGCATGCTTCCTTCAGCACGGTTTACATGTATGTCGATGAAGGGGCAAAACACGAGCGTTAGAGTCGATGAAGTATTAATCTTCAGTAGTCGATTACATGAAGAGATTGCCATGAAACTGCGACTCATTATTCGAGGAAATTAAAAAGAAATCCAATGTAAATTTTAATTTCTTTCAAAGAATTAGAACCCAGATGGCAAATTTTTAAAAATACTAGGGGGTACGCCTGCGCCTCCTGACCGCTACTCGGCCCAACCCTCGGCCAGGGCCGGATTTACATTTTTAGCGCCCTAGGCTAAACTTAAGGTGGCGCCCCTAAAAGTAGGCGCTCTCGTGGGGGGCGGGGGGGTGGTCCCCCAGACGCCCCTCCCCTCCAGATCAGAAGAAGGATGTTAGGAGTCCGGAAAATGTTCAAATTCACCTTTAAAAAAACACCTTTGTCAACCACAATTTGTAGAATCTGTGTCCCAAAATACCATAGACTTAAGGCCGGCTGTAAGATTTCCAATAGCTTCTATAGCCGGCAACACAATGGGCCTGTTGCATGCAACAGATACAGCCGCGCGAATAGACTTTTTAGAGGTTAGATGACACGAAAATTACGATGATCACATTAAAAAAGTCTGAAATACACTCCTTACTGCGCAATTTGCGTTGTCAGGAACGCGCTTTTTCAAATTTCCCGCGTCTGGGGGCAGTTTTCTAATCACCGGAAACGAGCAAACGGCGGGCTCGGTGATTTCCGGAAGATGCCGAGTCGTTGTTGTTGTTGTTGTTATTTTTTCCTTCAGTTTGTTTACAAACCCAACGTGATCTCCTACAGTGGTCCATATACGCTTTATGCGGCAACCAAATCGATCAACTTTTAAATATCCAACACAATCCTTCTACATTTCATTTCACGATGTCATGAACTCCGATTTTTAGGTTGTGTTGTCAGTTTTAGTTGCCCGGAAATAGCCGCGAGTTGCCGTTAATTATTTCCGTTAGAAAACTGCCCCCAGACGCGGGGAATTTGAAAAAGCGCGTTCTTAACAACACAAATTGCGCAGTAAGGAGTGTATTTCAGACTTTTTTAATGTGACCATCGTAATTTTCGTGTCATTTAACCTCTAATAAGTCTATTCGCACGGCTGTATCTCTTGCATGCAACAGGCCCATTTCTTATAGCCTTTTATAGCCGATGTCGATTAAGCGACAGCCTGGCGATAAAGTGTATGCTAAACGTTACTAATTACGGATGCTAGGACTTAGTGAGTTTTTGGACTACCGCTCTCTTTTTGGGCCGTAGTATCTTGATTTATTTTGCGAGGGAAGCTCCGTACTTTTGATGAATGCCTGCCATTCCTAACATGTTGGAGCGCCTGCAATTTTGTATAATACTGTTCAATACCTCTGGTGTGAAATAGTTGCTTCAAGCGCCGTGGTACGCTGTGGCGCGGCGCGGCGGGCGGGCAGCCAGCGCGAAACGCGCATTGGCGCCTTCAAACCTAACAGGGAAACTTCACGCATTGCGCAATGCGTGAAGTATCCCTGTTAGGTTTGTAGGCGCCAGTGCGCCGCTGCTCCGATTTGTGTTAGGCTCTAATATTGAATCTCGTGGAGTCAGCGTTTTTCAACTCATGACTATGAAATGTTTGCACACTTTGTATGGATTATTCTCATTTTAATTGATTACAAAGCACACGAATTTCTACACAATTTCTTATAGCCTTTCATAATCGATGGCGAAAAAGCAACAGCCAGGCGATAAAGTGTAATGTGGATAAAGTGGATTTGAGATGAAAAAGGAGAAACTCTCGGCGCGGCGGTCGGCATGTAACACATATTAGCGCCTACAAGACTGCATGAATACTTCACGCATCGCGTCAACTCAGTGCGGTCAGCAACCAGCTAAATGAGTTAATCTAGCATGAAATAATACAAAGCTGGTTCTCAGATAATTTAGATCTGATCGTTGAGATAAGAGATTACATTACTCGAACCATCGTCTGATAGTTAGAGTATCGTTATTTTTCCCGCTTAGTCTACATATGACAACCACTCGGTTCAACCAGTAAGATCGTTCTCCATTATCTATCACTTTGTCTTTCAATTTTAAAAATCAGCCCACTGAAAGGGAACTGAGATATTCCCTTTTACCGGAAAAAGCATCAATTTACTTTAATGCCTTGTCACTGTACTTGATATAATCGCTGAACAATGTTGCTACCTTACACCCGCTCCCGCAATATTGGCGCAAAAATGATCCAAGCCGATCGTAAATTATCACTCAAGGCAATCAAGGCCGGATTTAGGGGGTGGCCACATGGGCCGCGGCCCATGGCGAATTTTTCAATTTTTTTAAATGTAGGTGTATAAAAAAAATTGGACTCAGAAAAAAAATCACAAACGAGAAAAGGTGACAAAATCTCTCATTTCCTGAGAATAAAATATTTTTCTAATTTTGTCGTCTTTCGGTGATACAAGAGACAGAACTTATGATTAGTCGAGTTAAGAGGGAAACCAAACACGCAATTCGGCCTGGAGCGGCGCGGCGCAGAGAGCAATGATGACGATGATTTGAGATGAACAGGAGAAACCCTCGGCGCGGCGGTCGGCATGTAACACATATTAGCGCCTACAGGACTGCATGAATACTTCACGCATCGCGTCAAACACGGTGCGGTCAGCAGCCAGCGGTCGGCGCGAAACGCATAGCGCCTACAAGACTGCATGAATACTTCACGCATTGCGTCAAACACAGTGTGTGCAGCAGCGCAGCGGTCGGCGTGAAACGCACAGCGATTTCAAGACTGTAGGCAAACTTCACGCATTGCGCTAAGCACAGTGCGGTCAACGCGGCGCGGTGGCGGAAGTTAAACTTATTGAACCACATTTATGTTTGTTCTTTCATAATTTTTTCGTTCATTTCTTATAAATGGAATGCCTTGTCTACACAGAGATAGGTTTACGAAACTTAACTTTCGCGCAAAGTTTCGAGAACTTTTGCTAGTAGTGTTGACAGGGCTTTCGCAAAAACTGCGTCCAACACGAGTAAACGCGTCTTATACACCCCCCCTCCCCCCTAGCACGTTCACTCGATGGTTTTTATTGATGTTTCAAAACGAATGAGAAGGGAGTGGCAAAATACAGGTGGCCCATGGGCGGCAAGTAGGTAAATCAGCCATGAATAAAATAGGAAGTTTTCTATCATGTTTTCTCAGCAATGATAGTATTATTTTTAGAAATAATTTTTTCAGCTACCTAAATCCGCTCTACTTTAAAATTTTGCCCACATGGGCATTAAGGACCCTTCTCTTATGAGGATCACAAGTATGCAATTCTGATTCCGAAACTTTGAAGTTTGCGTAAAAAACGATCGCGATAAGAGTCTGCAAAATTGTAGGTATTCTTCGACCAGATCTCTAGTCTCCCTCTTGGCTCTTGACCCATCCACCTTTTCTACTCCTGCTTTGAAGTCCCTGAGTCTACCGAAAAGATTTTACGTTCTCCTTCATTTTAGGGATATGCAAATGCAATTTTATCTGCTTGGAAGCCGAAGTATAGTTGCAACACGTGGTTTGCCCCATGCACAATCTCTACTCCTGCATTAAAGTCTCCGTATCAGCCGAAAAGAGATTCTTCTTCATGTCTTGGATACGCAGTGCTATCTTCTGGGAAGTCGAAATAGTTGTATCATCCGCTTTGCTCCAAGTAACTTTTCTACTCCTGCTTTAAAGTCTGAGTCAGCCGAGAAGAGTTAATGTTCTCCTTCATTTCGTGCATGTACAATTTTATCTTATTGGAAGTTGAAATAGATGTATGACACGTTTCGTCCCATTCGACTTTTCTACTCTTGCGTTAGAATGTCTGAGTCAGCGGAAAAGAGATCCTTTTGTTACTTGTAATCATAATCATTTGAAAAGAGATCGAACTTTTTTTCATGGTTGTGGGTGTCCGAAAAAGTTGGGTTGCTTTGTAATGTTTGTGACCGGATCTGTGAAAGGNGGGGGGGGGGGGGGGGGGGGGGGGGGGGGGGGGGAATTTCCGAAAATAGCACACAGCGGCAGGTTCGAAGAAGGGTTGTGTGTTGTGTCTGCAGAAAATTAGGTACTCTTTTAATTTTGAGGTAAGCTTCAAAAATTGAATTAATTTTCAGATCATTTAATAATATTGCTCCGTTAGGTTAATTAAAAAGAACTTTCAAAAAACAAGAGGCGCTTTTTTTCATTTTTCATTTATTTTTTAAAATATCTTTTAACAGAGACACATACATTTTTCAAGCTGTTACACTTAGAAGAGAAATGACAGTTTTTGAAACATAAGTACCAAATATTGAACAGAATGGAACAAGATGGAGAACAATCCAAACCAAGGGCAGAGGTAAGAGATCCTTAGAATTTAGACAAATTTGCAAGATATTACTTTTTATAATGTATGAGAAGTAATTCTGGTGCGTAACAAAATGCAAAGTACCTAACGCAGATGATAAAAGGAATAACAATTATAAATATTTACGCATAGTTATTTTTTGAATGGTTCTGAGAGTAGGAAATAAAAATATGTTGCCCTTTGAAAGCACAAATAAGATTATATGCATTAATAACCACAGCAGAAGACTCAGAAACTTATAAATTGATAATACTGTAGAACAAAACAGTGGACCATCAGATTCGAAGACTCGAATTACTACTATATTCAAGAGCTCTTTCGATCTGATTAAATGATGATAAGAAGGCAGGATCGATTGGGTTGGACAAAACTGAATTGTTGCTTGGAGAGCTTGCATAAACCATAACTTCAACTTAAAATGTGATTCTGATGACATGTAGGTACCTCGTAAAAAATCAAACAAACTGAGGGTGAGTAATACATTTTTTCCTGCTGGTAATTTTAAAATATTACCTTCATTTTTAGTAAAACATTCAACAAAAAATAAACACAATTTTAGAGAGAGCACCGGTAAAATTTTCCTTTGAATATTACCGGGATAGAATGACATTTGATAAAACCAATTGTTGGCATTCGATGAATGAAAATTATTAAAAGCGACAGGAGATAAGAGAGTCCCTATACTTCATTCTACTCTTACTTAGCGCTTAGCACATCAGAATGGCCTGAGCTTTTTTCTTCAGAGTTTCATCATCATCATGTCAAAGCATCAGAGAGGGATTCTCCAAACACCAATCACTTTAGACTTTTATCATAGTAAGCCAGTTATACGTGGAGACACTGATGGCTTTTAGCATGCACTGTTGCTAGGAAGGAGAGGATTAAAATTTAACTTGTTCCCGACCAAAAAAAAATAAAAAAGATTTGGCGAATTATGACAGAATTCATCCTATTTTCAGTCGCACAGATTGAACCAGCTGAGGAGAAAATTGACATCACATCAGATATCTTTTTTAATATGATCAGAGAAATCAATTTGTTTTTCGCCTCTAAAACACCTCACAATAATTAAGCACAGAGAGTTTATATGATCGAAATATTGTGAAAACTGGGCATGATTATGAGTTTCTTTCATTTATTTAGCTTGTCAGTGAGGAGAAAGTTTCATCCCTTTTTTATAAAATGTGGAGCTAAGTATCAAGTGAGACTAGCAGAGCAACAAAAAACAAATTTCTCGCCTAATATGCTGCTTGATGAGGCCTAATGATGAGGTCAATTTTACTCGCTGCAAATTTTTTTGAATAATCTGACGACTTAACAAATGAGTATCTACAAAAGGATTCAATCTGCTAGTGACCAAAAATTTGAAACAATTAAATCAAAGCAAGAAAAACAAACAAAAAAAATTAATCGGATATCAGATGCAATTGAGGTAGGATTGGTGACAAAATTGGTCCGCTCTGAGGATATTTCACTTGGGCTCAAACAGTGAATAAACTGTCAGAAAGGAGACAAAAATCTTGAAATTCACAGTGGAAATTGCCATTCAGTCTGAAAATTCACAACATTAAAATGGAATTGATGAAATGAGAAAATTGACCTCCTTTCTTCGATATTAAGGCAGGGACTATTTTTAAACAGCCAACAATACCAACAAAAACATAGCTAATATTTATTTTTGCCTGAAAAAGGGTTTAAGGAGACTTAGGTACAAAATAAGTGAATTCAACGAAATTGTGGACTTATATAGTCGAATGTTAAGATGACAGGTCAATGGAGCCTAGTTCTCAACCTTGTTATATTTCTCTGGCCTCTCTACCACTTAAAGTACGGCATCTTAGACACAGATGTTGGTGAGCGTAAGTTGACAAGTCGCAAGTGACCCAGCACCTCAACAGCTGAGCTCTTCATCAATTCTTGCCAGGCTTACTAAAAGAGATGCAAAAAGTTCTTGATCATGAAACCGGGGGAGGAAGGGGGGGGTGTCCACGATTGGTGCTTAAGGGAGGACCCCAAGAACTTGTTTCAGAAATGATAAGGTTTTTTTTAAGAAACCAGGGAGACATTTACGTTTTTTTTTCGCATAAATGCAACAATTTATGAGGTCAGAGCAACAAAAAAAGTTATCACTTTGAGATTTTTGTGGGATAAGGGGTTTTAAAAAATGGGTGGGCCAAGAACTTTTTGAATTGCTGTTCACTAACCCAGAAAACCCAATTTCTCAGAAATGCTGCTGTGTGTGTTGTATCTAAGATGCTGTTCCTCTAAGACACAAGATTTTTTGTGATCATAGAAGTTTCCTTATAATTGAGATGATACACATTGCATAAAATAAATAAATAAAAAATTAAAACATGGCCTAAATTATACATATTTGTGGGGCAACAAGTTTCATCTTACATTAGCTTCACACGAAAAGAGGTTGTTCTGAACGATCAATTTTCATGAGAAATAATAGAGCTCACACTTTCAAATACATTCAAAAGCATAAGAGACACAAAGCTTAAATTACCATGAATTAGACTAAACTTCATCTGCATTGCACTGAACTTTTTTAATTTCTACATTCTGAGGATGCTTCATTGTCCATAAAATTAGATTTCGTTGTCAAGATCCCAAACTATTTTTTTATGTATTCTTGGTTATGGCTCAAATCTTTTAAATACCTATAAGAACAGATTTTGCTCTGAAATCGTGAAAACATTGTTATCAGCTTTATGGCAAAACCTCTTACTTGAGAACCTTTCAGGGAATGGGGAATAAACATCACATTATCAACATAGTATATGAATTTTGAATTATTTCCAGAATAAAGGGTTAGTGATAATCTAGCTTGAATATTATTATACGTATTTTGTCAATTTTTTTTCGACTTTTAATGCATATCAGTGATTCAATGGAGTAGCTGAACTATATTTGAAACAAAAAAGTACATCTGATGGCTATTCTCACTGTACACCAACTTTCAGCGAGAACCAAGGCATTGATTTTTTGTAACAAAATTGACTCTTGTGACTTCTAGAGAGAGAGTTTACCCCAAAAAGGGAAACATTTTCATGGCAATATCACTCCCCACCTTTAATTTTGTGTTAATTTTTTTTTTTTTTTTTCCCCAAATGAAATTAAACTAAATTTAATTAGGAAAACAAGAAAAAAAAGGGGGAAAAATGCGTTCAGCCATCATAGATCTTGTTTCATTTGTACTCATTCAGTATTAACTGAAAAATCCTTTTGGTGTTTTTAAATGTGATGTCTGAGATTGCAGACTTGATGTTGCAGGTAAAGTATTGCTAAGAAGTGTTAATATCCACATAAAACTCCTCCATGATGAATTTCAACATCATAAGGCGTTCACTTAAGACTTCAGATTTTTGATGGACATTCCTCTATTTTTCCAGTATTTTTCACAAGAGTTCCCAGAATTGAAACTGAGATCTCACGCTAACGTTTTGATTCCTTTTAAACGCTAAATTCTTTCATGGTTAGGGGGTTCTACGGTGAACGCCATAGAAATCTGAGGACAACTGGGGGCAAAGTCAAGAGACATGTTTTGTCCATTATTTAAGAGTTGACTTGTAGGTATATTGGCTCATTAAAACAAACTGAGTCCAATGGAAAAAATCAACCTCTAAATGATAAAATGACCTAGCTGCTTGACTCTGCTTCATAGCTGCCATTTTTTATGGCTATAACTATGAACGCTGAGACTGGACTATTCCCTTTATTATTTTCAATGGGTTTTGTATAAAACTTTCAAAAGATTCAGGTATCATTTTGGGACTGAACTCAAAAAACGAGTGATGATTCTTATGGACATTTGGGCATTAAGATGACACTGAGGGCTTGATTTACCAGCTGTGCCGATTATTGCATAGAACTGAACTGGGCAGGCAGGCATATGAAACAGAACTTTCAACAGAGGGAATAATTTCTGACCTCCATGGGCTGATGTATGCTAGGTTATACTCTTTGGATTCTACAGAATGTTGAAAATATCCTCTTAAAATTCAGTTGAGCCTAAATTGCTGAAGTCCACCAGGACAATCTGGTGCTACTGTTCCTCGAAACTCAATTACGATGAACTATTCTTGGTGGGTGTTTTGGGTGGCTCGATACCGACAGTCTTACAAACCCAGTCTGCAAAATCAACATTATCCGCCTCGCACTTACTGATCCACTCATGACTCATGAGCGTTTTTAAATCAGCGCGCTCAGCTGCATTTTTCTTTAAGCAGCGATCTACAAAGTCCCTGAATTCCTTTGAAAAATACTCCTCAGGAAGCCGTGGTGGAGGCTCATTGACTATGTAGTCCAGCAACTCAAAGATTGCCATTGGCTGTGGCTGTGGACCATTGCAGTTCTCTTGACTAGGGGATGGTTGGCTGGACGTGTCACCTCCTTTCGAGCCGAAGATCTGCGCCAGCATATCTGCATCGGGTGGTGGGATGGGGTACATGCCAATTGCCATCTCAACTAAGGACAAGCCCAGTGACCAAATGTCACTTTGAACTGAATAGTGTGTACCTTGCAACCGTTCAGGCTGAAATAAAAAAAAAAAAAATCAGAAAACGGTAAGGGTTGAAAACTTTTTACGTTAACTGCATTGCATGCTGTAATACATGCACTTCATTAGAAAACAACAAGAGTTAGCAGGGACGAAATCTTTTTTCTTGTTCATTTGTAACAAAAAACATAAAAAGGAAACCCAGCGGAATAAGCCAGAAGCATGAAGGAAGAAGAAAACAAAAAAAAAGTTCAAAGGAGTTTTTCCGTTCGTAAATTATTGAATTAGAGGAAAATAGAACAAACAGACGTCTGTTAGATACAGAGATGATGATTCAGTTATCAACCGTTGAAAATTAATGTAAAATTGAGATTCTCATGATGAAGGGAAAAATTCTCATTTGAACACAATTTTTTCTCAAAGAGGTATGCTCTTCAGACCAACACTAGCTTCGAACAATCAAGGATTTAGACTGATTGGTCTCATCCCTGGCACAGCAAATTGTACTTGAATGAGCATTTCCCTCTATCTAGATTATTTCAATTTTTTACAGAATTGAATGGATGATGAAAAAATCACCATCAATCTGTTTAAATAACTTGTGTCAAGCTGGAATCTTGGTGTTCACAGTAATTGTCTTGCTAGGGCTTCAGCAAAACTGGTTTGATAGATTGACAAGAATTTGCTTGCTGCTGCAGCCGCTTGCTCAAACTTCAGTGTGTTGGACAAAAACAAACACAAACAAATCTTCAAAGACTTAGATTCCATTATTTTCTAGCTTTTGTGTCTTAAAATACTTACAGCCATATATGATCTTGTTCCCACGAATGAGTTTGCCATTGAATCGATGAGTTGACCCGAAACTCCAAAATCACAGATTTTAATCTCTCCACCGCTATTCACTAATATGTTACTAGGTTTCACATCTCTGTGAATTATATCATGCTTTTCCCTTAAGTAACTCAGTCCCTTTAAAACCTGCAAAACACAAAAAATGATCAAAAATGAAAAGATTTAAAAAAAAATGGCAAGTTTTAAATGCTGGAGTCACAACTTCTAAAGCAGGAATGAAAATCGCTTTGAGCGCTTGATGTTGAAAACAAAATTGGAACATATAATCTTGCACATGTTGCTTTGTAACTTTTTACGATTTTCTTTCACTTAAAAACTCTGATTGAAGTAAAATTTTGATACAATATTCATGACATTTAACCATAAAAGACTGCTTCTGAGAATGTATCATACTTTCTTACACTTATTTTTCTCAGATTTTTGGTAAAATTCCATTTCAACAGTGAAACTCTCGAGCCACGTATCTTGTTACCCGTGTTTAGAGATCTCTGTTCCTACTTAATTTTTTAAAGGAGAACAAATCAACATCATTCTTTGAGCTTCTCACAGAATTTACTTTGTGCTAAGTAGAAAAATCAGGGAAGTTTTTAAGAATTGACTTTGACTACTTCTCCATTTTAAAATAAGTATGACAGAAAGTGTGCAACATTGCAAGCCAAGGTACATTGTTTGAGAGTTTCACCATCTATTTTTTATTACCTATTTTTAGTCGAAATCTCTCTGTATATTTATTGGAGTTTTTTTTTTTTTTTTTTTTTTTTTTTTTTTTTTTTGAATAGTATGAATAATGAGATGTACAAAAATGATCTTGTTTCAAGAATAAACGCAGTAATGCTCATCAAAAATGATTTCATCCCTTGTCCTTAGGGATAGAATTAATACCTTGGTGGTGGGAGATACATATTCAGATTAACATATTTGCTGCTGCTATGATTTGAAACTTTGAGAAGTCATGACTAAAAGGTATGCCTTTTGTGAATTTCGAGGCCCAATTTGTTGTGCCTGTTTTTAGACCCCTCCTTCTATTACACTATTTGGCAAACTTTTAGGCATCATCAGGGCTCTCCCACTTCCCAATTTACAGCAGCACAGCACCCTATTTTTGTTTCTTTCTTAGTTCTGCTAGAGTTCTTGAAAACTGAGTAAATTTTTTTTCTGCCCCTCCCCCCCCCCCCAAATTTACAGCCCTAAACTGCAACCTATGTAGCTTGTGCTTAAATCTGGCATGCCCAAATATATGAAAAGACAATACTGAAGTTATTCCTGTGCACAGATTAAGAGAGGTAATTAAAATATAATTATAATTATATAGATATTCTTATTACTCCTGTTTATGGTGTGTATATCAAATAAGATAGCATAACTAAAGCACCCTGCATGAAATACATTTCCTTCTTATTAAAGAAAATGTATAAATTACAAAACTTGAAAATAAAAAACACCTAGATAGAATAAAAACTAAAAATATGGGTGAGTTTTAAAAATCACTAAAAAGGCAAGATGTTTCAAACTGGCAAAGGCTCATTTTCAACTGCCCAAAAAAAAAAAAAAAAAAAAACTAATTAAAAATGAAGGGGCATTCAGATTCAGTTCGTTATCACATAGTCATTGGAATTCGGCAAAATGTTCTAAAAATTGTGTCAACTTTTTCTTTACCATATTCCAGAGGTTGAGTGGTAACAACTAGAATCAGGTCGCCATCCAAATTTGAATTATTTTAATGGTTTTTTCTGTTGGAAACCAGCCTGTGCCAGCTCAAAAGATCCTGTTAGTGTTTTTTTTTAAAATTATACCCTTGTTTACCCATGTATTTGTTTCTTTTCTGTCATCCTCTATAAAAGAAGTCAGTTATCAATGGTTCTTTATCGTTCTCAAAGAAAGATCCTTCTGTCATGGGATTTTTGAAAATGAGATGGATGGAACATAACTTACAGCGTGCGTTATAATACCAAGGATGGATTCAGGAATGCGTCCAGCTTTCTTTAGGATAAGATCTAAGGAGCCACCATCCATGTATTCCATACAAATACTGATTTCTCCATCACTGAAAAATTAAGGTCGCTATAAGTTCAGACTGAGCATCACAATCCAACAAAATTAGGAGAAAAAAAAACAAAAAAAAAAACCCATTTTATTCTTGAGCTAAGAATGGATATTAAGAATTTGATTGAGCAGTGTGTCAGTATTATTCAGCTATTTAATTAAACATGTTGAGGGATTTTTTTTCTTCCAAACTCATGATCACACTGCAAAAATCATAAATAGATTTATTTTCAAAAGTAATTGTATTTCAAGTTTCGTTTAGTGAATAAACTGATCAGTGAATCTTTTAGTCTCAGGAGGATTAAGTGAATCAGTGTACTAATGTGCCCGGTTACGGCAGTGATGAGGCTTTTTAAAGTTTCATTACGATTATTACTAGAGCTAGAGTTTCAGAGAAAAAAGTACCTGTAAAATGCTCCATAGAATCCCACAATGTGGGCAAAGTTGCAATCATGAAGGACTTTTAACTCTCGGATGATTTGTTTCTTTATCGCAGGTTTCACTTCTAGATGAATTAACTGTAATTATGAAATTCAAAATAAGCTTACAATAAAGGAAAAATTATGTTAACTACAGAATTAAAGAAAAAGTAAAAAACTTGCAAGTAGAAAAAATTCTTGGTGATATACCCACTCAAGTTCTAGAAAACATGGAAGCCAAAAGATTTAGAGTTAATTGTCCTTATGTGTATTCTTACAAATTTCCATGAAGACTTTCAACATAAGGTGGAATAGTGAAAATTATTGAATGTACCGCAAGTAAAACTCAAAATTTTGCAGAGAGAAGGACAAAGGTAATGGGTTGGTTGAGCCTAAAATTCTGTCCGCAAATTTTCCTTTGCGTTGATTCCCCAAGCTCTTAGGAGCTCGAACTTAGCTTTCTGTGATTACTTATATTCTATTACACCTTCTAGAGTTATAAGAAAGTTTGAGAGAGCTACATTTCAACTCAATGCACAATTTAAATAATGCTGCCCAAAAGCTTCTCAATTCTCTAATAAGAGAAGATTTTAAAAAGACAATTCTGATCAAGTGGAAACAATACCTTGCGTTATGAATTTGAGAATTCAGCAAAAATATTTTGAAAAATTAAGAGACAGGAAGGTCATCAGATGAGCAAGAATAACTTTAATTTTAATACTTGAGAACTATGTAAAATTACTGTAATAGAAGACCTACTAAAATTTAAATTTTCAAATATTTTTCCTGCTTCCCTGAAAATTTTCCAGTGCTTCCAGGGACACGTTTGTTGGTAGCCCTCCTTAAGTTAAGGATCTTGCCACATGGCAGCACTGTCGTCTAGTTCTGGAGTTGCCGGGCAAGGCAACCATCAATACCATCTTTATCATCGTCTCCCAACAACTGCTCAATCCTTTTTAGCTTTAGTTCGAGTTACTTTATTTTCCACTGTTATCAACATTTCAAGATGTTGCCTAGAGATTCTAGTAAACCAGCAAATTGACTAAATATTTCCAATAAGGTCACATTAGGAAGTTGAGGATCTTTAAGGTTATACAACTTGCATTATGTTGCCTTCATTTGCGCCCTCACACTAAAATTGGCAACAAAGACTTTAAGGAGAGCCATTGTACATAATTAGTGTCAATAAATTAGTTGCACATGTCAATAAAGCGCATTTAGACGACTGAATCTTGTAGAAATATTGAGAATAATCATAAACAAAAGATAAAGGATTTTCCATCATTAGAGATACGTTATTCGAAAAGTATGATAAATTAAAACATCTACTACAGTGATACATACTGGAGTTTACGTATATATTAGTTCTGAACAAAGACTTTGCAAATCTTGAAGCTTCAACCATCAAAATACTTTATGAAACATTGGATCCAAAATTATCGACCTGAAACTGTTTCCAACAGACAAAAGAGAAGGTTTGGAGCTTTGAGAAACTAAAAATACCTTTCGAGCCATGATTAAGTCCGATGACTTGTGACGCACTTTGACAACAACTCCACCGTTGCCTGTGCCCAATTCTCCTAATTTTTCGAAGTCAGCATCAGTGAGCTCCTTTCCAATTTGTTCCTTTTGACATAAGAAGGTTTCTAACCGTTTTCGTTGCACTGCATCCATGCCCAGTTCTTCCAGCCTGGCTTGAAGGGCCTCAATGCTTGTCTTACCCATCATGCTGCTCTTCCTGTAAGCAAAGTATGAGTAAATCATGTCACAGTATTTCCAGAAAACTATCCTTAATCATGAAATAGAGGAAGCCGAAACTAAAAAACTCAAAATCACAAAAATAATTAAAATTACTGATGCATTTTAGGGCTCCCCGGCCCCTTCTTTGAGGCTAAATTGCGACTCAAGAAGGGGCCAGGAACCCCAAAAGGTGTCGGCAATTTTAATTATTTCTGGTGAGTTTCAATTTTATAAATTCGGCTTCCTTTATTTAGCTCACAGTTTGTTACCTTAATTTCCCGTTTGTTTTGTTACTTTTGATTTATTATCCTTAATCAGGTTGAAAGGATTATAAAATTTATGTATCTGTCACTTAAGAGAAGTGATATTATACACGGAAAGTAATCAATGACAACTTAGCTGACGACACCTCCTACAAAGCAACACCTGCCGGACTCAAACCTCCCAAATGCTACTCAGTAGAAGACAAAAAAGTTCTCTTATCCTTTGCCTCAATTTTTCCAAGCAAAAAATAAGGAACAAGAAAGAATGCTGGTCTTTGAAATCCTGAGACTCGACTTGTACTTCAAACTTTTTTGAGAGAGAAATTTGAAAATGAAAAAATTGCACATCATTTTTGATCTCAAGAACATCCTGCAAAGTTGATCTGAACTGAGTGTTCGGCTGTAATTTAGTACATGGATCGTCCTCCAGTTAGGTTAGATAATGTTAGGGACTGATTAGCTGTAGTTCGTCAAACGGGTCATTCACTTTGACCAACTATCCGAGTGCTATACTTTACTTATCCGGGTGTTCAAACTCTCTTAACTAATTTGTACCTATGCACTAGTCTGTTTGAAACTCTGAACAGAAACAAGTATTAATTTGCTGGGTCTTAAACAAACAATTCATTGTCAGTTACTTGTCAAAGAATGAATCAATGCACATTTCGAGAATTGCCTTCAGTCTAGTCTAAATACTACATTTAGAATCTACTTTCAACAAACCAGTGTTTTCTGATTTGCTCATTTTCAGGTGAAGCTAGAATTATCTTATAGATATTGACTACTTTATGGAAATAAGTGAGAATTCATGTAAAGTGGGAGCCAGGCTCAGTATTTCAAGAATTGACATTGTTGTGACAGCTGCGTTCAATTTAAGTCTGGGAGGTTTCAAAATATGTTTGTGCTGCCTGGGCGATCGTGAATGCCAATATACATTGATGACACTCATATGAGATTCAAACTATGAGAAGTTTGAGATTCAGCGGGCTCAGTTCCTAACTAAGCGTGTATATGTTAAAATTTTGCAAAACTAAAGAGAGACTAAGTAAACACAAATGTGGAAGGCTTACTCGGAATACTCATTAACAGTCGCTGACGGAGGGGCTGACGGAGTGGTAGATGGAGGTTCTATTGCCCCAGCTGGCAGGGTAAGGTTGAGTTTATTCTTTGACATTCTCATGGGGCCGGAAAGTTTTTGTGTAAGTAACTAAATCACAAGAACAGCAGTACTCTGAGTACAACCAAAACATGAGCTTAGGCTGCGGTAACTGTCACGATTACACACACGTTCTGAATAATATACGAGAGGTTATCATTGAAAACCGATCACTAATAGTTCGAATACAGATTGAGAAACTGAAGGAGCACCATTTTAGAGGTATTCAAGAGTAGATTAACTTAATTAGATATATGTTATCAGGAAACAAGAAATTCGCAAGGCCAGAGATGTTTGAAAGATATTGATTTGCTGACTGTGGGCCAACGAAAACTCAAAACCGGTTCTCTTGGAGAAATGAGGTTATGTTTATGTTTCTGAAACCGTGAATTATGCATTGATAATGTGGTGTGTGTGTGGGGCGAAAATAGGGCGAAATAGTCTTGTATAATTATTCTGAAACATTAATCCAATTTCGACCTCCTTCAAAATGTTAAGCAAACATTATTTCTCGAAGCTTATTTCCCTAAAACATGTGCCTTGCTCTCAACTCAGTGCGCCGACCTCCAGACTTCGGAGCACCACCAGCAGTGAGTACACATCGACACCAAACTACCCACCAATATACTCTTTGGAACCCAAAGCAGTAACGAAGCGAGTAATTGAGTCTGGTGCTGAAAAGTTGAAGAAAGTACCGACAGTTGAAGAGAAGCTCTTAGCTCTGAATGTTCCACGCTATTGGGGATGGGACTCAGTGATGGTGAATGAAGGTAATCTCCCGTATGACTTTCTTCCCTTTGCACAACACATCACCAGAACCAGAATGATTGAAGTGGATAGCTTACCGGTCCCTCTACCAAGTGAAACATTGCAACAAGTCATGAAAACTGTTAAAGATCAATTGGAGAAAATCATCGCGTTTGAGCTGTGTCACAGAAATCATAAATTTCTCTTGGTTGAAGACCCGTTAGATTTGACGGAGATGAGGTTGAACGAGCTTTATGGCAAAACACTCATCGAGCAAATCAACCGATGTATCTTATCAAATTTTGCACCTCACGTACCTCATCTTGTGGATCTGTTGGTAAGTTTTTGTGCAAATTCGTGTGCATTGTAACATTCAGGCCCATCGCGAGGTAGATCTATGGATTTGAGCGATTTGTGGCGTCTGTTGCTGGCCAAAGATACAGCCAACTAAATACACTTTCTCAATGTAACTTTGCTGGAAAATTACGTCAGGTACATCAGAAATTGGTCGATGGTGACTGAGAAAACTGTCTGCAGGTGCAAGAAACTTGAGAAAGCGTTTCATGAACTATACAGATTGCACTCTAAGGAATGGATTTCAGACTTTTTTGACGTGCCCTACATGATTTTTGTGCAATTTTACCTGCCTGAAGTAGATTTATTTGACTGTATCTCTTGCATGCTACAGACCCAATGTCAAACCAGACCAATTTTTATCGTTCTCTCAAAACTTACTGAAATCATTTTATTCAGTAAATCTTCAAAACACTTGCAAATGTTCATAGAAATAGTATGACCACATGGAACATTTTTCTAAGAAGCTTTCATAACTGTGCACTCTGAGTTATAGATAGTGTGTACATTACTTCAAGTTGTCCATTTGTTACTGTTGTACTTACTTACTTTTAATTATTTTATTACCATGATCAGAGCAAGTACTTGGTTTTAGAATATCTTCCAACCTCCTGAAATAGAACTAATAAAAATATATCTCATGATTTCAGCTAGCAGTTTTGGAGCAACAGTTATTAAAATTCACAAAAATGTTAAGAATTCTAGGTTTTCTTACTCTCGTCCTTTTATGTGTTAATTAAAAACTAATTTATAACAATTCCATTCGGAGGAAGTCAGCAAAATCAATTAAATTTTTGGTCTAAGTATTTGTTCAAAAAGCCATTTCTGCCTGCAGGTAGACTTTCAGCCACGGCATGAAGCATTTTGGTGCGTTGGAGGTTTCTATCCCAGCGAAGAGGACAAGTGGTACCAGAGGTATCTCAATAAATTCTGGGAGCGATCAAATGACAACCTAGATGACCCAATGGATCGCTGGATACAATACATTGGATCCCCGGTCCTAGCTGTGCGTAGTCGATTTCCTTTGGACCCAATTGCTCCCTTCCCTGGACCCACCATAGAGGATACAGCAGTGAAACCAGTTGAAGAAGTTCCTCATTCAGAGAAAGACGGAGAAAAATCTAGCCAGAAACCAACTGAAATAGCTGCAGGGGACAAAACTCCTACTGAGAGAACATTTGAAATTCCTTCATACAAATATGATCCACGAATAACACATGGCTTGGAAATCAAACGGCAATATGGTCTCAATATTCCTGGTAAGCTGAATTTTTTCTCTCATTCAATCAAGGAAATAAATCAGAACTGGATAAAGTAAAATCTCAAAACAGTTCGAAAATCTAAATAGTACGCATTTACACTAAAATGGTACATCTGCAATGGATTTTCCACACAAAGGACTTCTTTATGAATGCAATAATTGTTTCAGTTTGTACACTGGAACACTGAAGAAATAATTTTATAGCTTACATTCATAACAGTCAGTATGTGAATACCACTCTGCAACTGAAGTCAAGATCCATCCATATAGGTCAGTCATTGCACAGATTTCCCCGCTCGGGGTAAGCCCTTTTCCATTGGCTCATGACGTCAGCATTACTGCCGCAAAAACCAGAAAAGTCGGAAACAATACTTTTCTTACGGGAGAGAGCAACTTTTCTCAACGAGTCATTTAAATTTCTTACTTTTAAATCCTTTGAAACTCTCTGAGTGTCGAAAGAAACGTTTAGACATCAGCATCCAGGGTTTCGATTTTGCTGAATTTGTCTTCTTTCATTTTTACAGTTTACTCTGCATCAGCCTCTTTACACGCAAACCTATACCACTAGATGGCCTGTTACATCGCTGACTTCAAAAATCATTTAAAAATTTAAAAGCGCAAATTCAGCTGAATTTAAACCCTGGACGCTAATATCTAAACGTTCTTTTCGACACTCAGAAAGTTTCAAGAAAAATTTGCTCTCTCCCAAAAGAAAAGCATTGTTTTCGACATTTCTGGTTTTCGCGGCAGTAATGCTGACGTCATGCGCAGAAGATTCTCATTTTGGTTTCGGGAATGACTGACCTATATGGATGGATCTTGACTGAAGTAGTGTCAGTTGTGATGAAATGTCTGTCACTGGTGTAGTTTTTATTTTTAAAAAGCCCTCTAATATCAGATGTCCCTCTCATAGTACATGAAGAGAATACAAAAATTATTTTGCTGAAAGATACCTTTCCACAGCACCAACAGAGGTTAAAAACCCTATTTTTTATTAAATTTTCAGAGATGCCTCCTCTCTCCATGGTGTACTCTTCTAAGAATACTGCGCTAGAGCTGCCTGTACTAAATTCTGCACCAAGAAAGCTTTCTAATATAGAGTGTGACATAAAATCAGCTCTCTTCATCTCAGTATTGAAAGTAAATAGAAAAATCAAGATGGTGAATCTCCTGTTGCTTTCTGAGAGTGCATAATCTTATTTGGTGTAGACTCTAGTATATGTTGATCAAAGGCTCAACCGTACTGCAGGGGAGGACTTTTTCAGTTATCGGCCATTCAGCCCATGGCCATAGGCTTGTTGCAGCTCCCCATAGACCTAATGCGTTGAACTTCTGCAACTTAAACCGCAATTATTAACGATATGATCAGCGACAACAGAGATGCAAAATTGAGTTAGAGATTAATTTTTTTTTTTTTAAAAAAAAATCTCTATTGATGAGAGTGCAACATGTTTAACTTACTATATTTGTTTGAACAAACATGGCTTCTTGTGGAATTTTTTATCCGTACAATGTAATTCAAAGCTATATTAGATTTCTGCATCTTTTTAACACTCTTGGAGTAGAGTAATTGATTTGTTCCAGTATTTATGTTCTATCTATTCTTTCTCACCAGGATTCTTTGCCAATGACCGGCATGAATTCGGATTTCTATCTTACCACAGAAGGAACCACATGCTAGGTAGACCACCTAACTTTGGTGTAGAGCATGATGAAGCACTTCATGCCCAAGCAATTTTGGCTTCTTACAGTTGGCTACTTGGTCAAGCATGCTATCAAGGTAACTATTTTCCTGAACCTCACTGCAATTCACCAATGTTATGATTGTTATTTAAAAAAAGAAAAACAAAACAAAAAAACTCATACCTACATGTATGTAAGCCATAAGTATGGCTATTGTAGTTTTTCTTATGTAAGTCTCTACAGTAAACATTTTAGATGATCCTTTTATCTAATTCGACATTATTGGAATCTGATTTCGGAGCTGTTGGTCAGTAACTCCACAGATAAATGTCAGGCAAAAATTCATTTAGGTTATGAAATGGCTTCTGCAATAGAACAAGCTTATATGGTGGATAGAAATATAATTATATTAGTAGGTGTCTAGGGAAAGCTTCGTAATATTAAATGGCAGTGTATCAAATATCTAAATTGATGAGAACACTACTTCCTAAGATCTCATAAGCATTCATTGTGATGTCAACGATGCCAAGCCTATACTTATGACTGTATGGAGGTAGATTGTGTTAAGATCCAAGGGACCATTCTAGATTTTCAATCTATTATGCTTGTACATGTAAAAAGATGCGACGAAGAATGGGCCCTTGGACCTCAACAGCTCCCTTCAGCCTTCTGTTTGTTCTGTTCTGTCCTCCTCCTCTGATTTTGTATCAAGTATTATCAATTATTTTCTCATGAAATATTCCATGAATATTTTGAAAACGAAGCAATATTTTCCAATATTTTGTGCAACCATGTTCCTACTCTAATGGCTGTCCATTAAAAAATCTGAGAAATAACAAACCTAGGTTCATGTTTATCCAATTTTACTATTAATTTGCCATCATGAGAGCCGTCACTGAGACTTAATTTTTTTGGATGAACTCCAGAGTCTCGCCAAAAAAACCGTTTGCCCATAGAATCTGGAAACTACATAATCTTCTATCAAAATAATACGAAATCAAGTATATACGACTGCAAGAATAATTTGTACAGTGAACCTCCATAACTTGAGAGAGAAATAACTAAAAATAGGTAAATTAATCAAAAAAAACAAAAAAAACTCTTAAGATATTACCAATGAAGAGAGACAGCGATTGAAGCTATGCTATATCTCAAGCGCAATCGTGACTCTCTACCCCTATCGCTTAATTAACTTTTTTTACTTCTTTTTATTGCAGGGTTCTCAACCTACAATGATCCAACTTACCCCTTGACTGCTCAAACAGTTATAACAGATGGTCGTTTATGGTCATTTTATGCGTACCAGCTAAACACTACTACCCTCTACCACGACCATATAGACACGAATCCCCATCAAAATGTTTGCTATGGACTTAAAACCACGGAATTGTATCATTCAATTGAGGATGGAAAAGTGAAAGGTAAGATCTTAAATTTGTATGCAATTCAGTACACGCCTGACCTACACCTAATCTCATAGATCATTGAAGCTCCTATCAGCGAATGGAATTGAAAATCAAGTCTTCTGTTCGCAATTCCTAATCAGCAATTCAAATTTTAGAAGGGTGATTTACTGTCTTTGCATTGATGCCTTTCTCTATTTTTCAGGCTGGAATGAGAAAGCATTGGAAACCTTATTCTCTTTTTACCTTAACAAATGCCGAGTACGCGAAGGCGTACAAATGAAGCCATATTTGGACCCACAGACGCCTCTCGTCGAATGTATCGAAGATGACGAGAAGCGAAACTGGTTGGATAAACATAATAAGTATTTCATGCGACGTCCGCCCAAGCATGGGTGGGTGCCACAAATTTATGAATGGGAGAAGATCTATCGAATTGATAATGATACAATGCCAATGAGTGCAAGACACAAGTTCTACCAAAAAGGTGAAAACCCCATGAAGGATGATACATGGATCAACCGCCATGAACGCAAGTACATACCCAAGCCACTCAGAAAAGAAGGCGCATATAGACAAAAGTACGAAAAAACTTTCTGGCCAGACGCTCTAGTTTAATGTAGTTTTTTAGTTTTGTTATTTTTCTATGAAATAAATTTTTCCCAAAGTTCAGTAATGGCTTTTCATTGAAAAACAATGAATATACCTCTTTTTGTTCGAAGCCAAGAAAAACCCTCGTAAACTTGTCTCAAGCAAGTTTTTCTCTTGGAACTTAAAACAATGAAACATAGCACATTCAGTAGCTAAATTTACTCACCCAAAATTATCTTCGAAGAATGTGGGAATGCTTTGATTTGAAAAAGACGAATATATTCTTATTGTTAGTCTTATACATGCATTGAATGATATTGAATTCACACAACTGTATCCTCGACTTCAAGTTTCTTCTGAGTAGCTCAAAGAACAGTTAAAAATGTTGCTGTGATGCTAACATACAGTGGCAATGATCTAAAATGCCATGCGGCGCAAAGAACCCTGCTGCTGCACCCATCTTGCAGTTTGAAACTCGGGAACTACCAAGGTTTGCTGTTCCTTTCTATCACTCTGAAAGCTAGGCAGCAAGAAGCGGCAGAGGGGGACTCTGAAATTACCTGACACCACAGACTGTTTTCGTTCTATTTCGCCATTGTAATGTGCAATTGAATGCTTCTTCTCGCACAAAAGTGAACAATATAGCTCATAACATATTTTGCAGAGGTGCTGAGAAGTATTTTCTGGCCAAAACTCAAATCCTAATTTTTTATTCAACTTGACAAAAAGTGCTTTCTTGCTTCTCTAATCATTAAAACGAAAAATTCTTATTTTTTCATAAACTTGTTTTATCTCTCTGATTTCAAAAATGGAAAAATGGCTTTCTGATTTCAAAGAAAAGAGAATTGCGACTAAGCATTGAAACGAGAGAATCTGACGAACGGCTGAAGGCCTCAAAAAGGAAAAACCCGCAGAGGGCAGCCGGTAGGCTCTGGTGAGGTGAGGTAGCGAAAATGAAAAGGCGCGCTTTCGGAGAACAAAAAGAGATTTATTCACTCAACACGGTGGGTGACAAACGCTAGAAACAAGAAAACAGATCCTCGAGATCTGGATAGAAAAACTACATTGGCGAAAGAACAGAAAATAACTTCTTTAAAGTTCTTCATCATATTCAGTGCACAGGCTTACAGATCCTTTACTGATACTAGACTTAAAAGTCTTCACAATGCTGGAAAACCCACATTACGTAAATTTGAATCATAATATCTTGATCTTCATGTTCTCTAGTGTATGAAAGGGGTAGAGAAGTAGTTTTTTCTTTGGTTTCAGGAAAAAAACTTATCAAAGGTAGATCTCAAATCTCAAGCTTCTTAAAAGTACTATTAATGAATTATATTACGGGCCAAATCAGCAGGTTGACATTTAAGGGGCTTGGAGGACGAAGCGCATAAGTGCAGTTTTTGCTATTCTAAGAAATATGTGTTTAAGTGTTCGAAATGAAATGGCGCTTTATGGCCGAAAAAAAGTTAAAGCTCACTCTTCGATGCTTAAAAATTGGATTTTAATGGTGAACTTTACTCAGAATATATCTTAATACTGGTTTAGTTGAAATCTATATCTCAATTTTTTCCAAAACTCCACCCATTGGCCTTGTCCTGCAAGCCCCTCATTTGAAAATAGTTTTAGACCTTTATGTCATGTTCTGAGAAATTTCAGCCCCCCCCCTCCACCTTTCCCATTTTCCTATCTTTCGAGTGAGTTTTAATTCAAAACTTGGCAACACAGCCACTCAAAAAGTTTATCTTTTTGAGAGCTCATTCACATTCAACCTGTCTCCGCCTTATCTGTGAATAATCCTCACATGTGTTCTCAACAAGATTGCATAATTTAGAGTGACTGTTTACATTGGACTTGGTGTCAGACCAGTATTCTTGGTTAGGTTATCCACTAACTTATGTTTTAGCTTTTTTAGCTGCTGTGTTTAGCCGTGCATTCCAAATTGCTCTTCGCCAGATTCAGGAAGTTACTAATCATTTCTTGAATTTTTTCCTCTATAACGCAAGTAGAATGTCTGTTGAAACAGGTAAGAGTCTAATTGGTCTATTTATATCTCCTCACAACTGAAGTTCTAAAAGTAAAACCTCATATAGACTGTAGGTAGTCTCTTACAATAATCCAGAGACACAATGACCTATTTCAATATAATACACCCTCACTTTCAGTGCTAAAATGCAATACTCCCTTCCTCCTCCTCCCCATGAAATATAAAGATTTCAGTAATCCTCTTCATTTTTGGATAGGATTGAACAGCTTTGTAACTCCGAAATGTTCAACAAGTGCAAAACCTACTCCATTATAATACAAAATTGAAATAAAGCTTAAAACAAATTAGAATCCTTTTCCACAATCCACTACTGCAATAATTGGCTCTCAAGACTCAATTTACTCCTGTGATTAAAATACCTATAATAACTTATTCTAGTCCTCTTAACCCTCTATGGTATTAATTAATTTTAGATTTCAGATTCTGAGGGACCTTAGGTAATCTTTTTTGTAGCTTGCATAAGTAACATTGACTAGGCACCAAATTTGTTTTCATAATTTTAAATTTTAGGGAATCAGTTACGTATTCCATAAATGAAAAAACTAATGAAAATTTGAAAAATCATGCCACAAAGGCAAGATTTAATTTTTAAAAACCCAGAAAACACATTGTTACGAATTCGTAACGCTATGCCAAAGAGGGTTAATAACAGGAAAAATGGACATTTGCGGTTTTCACTGGAGCCGACTCAATTGAAAACATATTTGATTCTCGCTGTCACATCCTTTAATCAGACCAGTTCTGTAACAATGCACAGTTTTGGAGCCTTGTTGGAAAATGGATATAGTAGCAGTCTGCGCATGCATGAGCTGATTCAGTCGCATTGTTTAAAATGAACTGAGACACCAAGGTACACAGATCATCTTGTTGATAGAGGGAAAAAAAGATTTTGAGAGCTCACCAAGATCACTGTGCGTTGGGAAGTTATTTTTTGAAACATCCTTTGTTAAACCAATTTTCTTATGTTCGTAGTTTTAGGACCCATAGCATCATCTAAACTTGGAAAGGTTCTTACTCATGAGCATTTTTCGATTAAATATGACCGCTTTAACATAAAAGCACCAGAAGTGGTGAAGTCTTATCTGGATCAACCGATCTCTATGGGCAATCTTGGATTTGTTCGCCAATATCCGTAAGTATGCATGACACACTACCATAAAAGAAAATGAAGATATATATCCAGATGGCATCTGCCTCCCCCTCCCCCTACTCCAAACCATGACCGCAGCACTCAATCACGTACAAGCAAAAATGGCATTATTCATATTTTTAGGCGTGATTAATAATGATAAGGAAGGTTATTACTACAGATTCTATACATCGATGGTCATAGTGCAAAACCACGTACTTCTGTTAGCGATGTTGCAGACTCCTCGTTATACTCTATTTTTTTTTTACATGGAGAACTAGTCAATGCAATTTCCTGAAAACCCGTCAGATTTTTCTTCTTTGCCAGCAGAATACTCCGAAAAAATTTCAAGCCATAAAGTTGGGTAGTTTCTACTCAAAGATATTAAACAAGGATATTAAATAAAGGATATGGAAATTTTGAAACACTGCAATGGCAATGTTTCAAACTTGTATCTCCATTAATGGAGATACAAGTTTTGCACTTCGCTGTCAATATTCTTTTGAACCTAATCATTGTCTGTAAATTATCAACTTTCCATTATTAATTCATTACTGAGCTACACCGTAATACAGGTGTTGCTGTCAAAATTGGCCCCCTCTGTAGCTCTCAATCTATATTTGGTTACCTTTACAGGTTAGTATTTCAGGATCAGAATACTAGTAAGAAAATGATACATATTGCAACAGCTTAGTTTCTCAGGTCAGTTCAGCCCCAAAACTTTCGATTCATTTATCGATAAGAACCCTTGTATCATTATTACTTTGTTTTGTAAGTGATTTAGTAGCCATCTATAAATCAAGGACAAGTCTGAGATACTCAATCAATACTCACATGTATTCTAGAAGACATTGAGCAATAAAATGAGGTGGGCTTAGCCGATATATGAGTAGTTCTACACAATGGGTAATAATTATCTCTCTGAAATTTTCTCTCACTCAAAAAACTGGGAAATTCTTTCTTACCTAGCATTTGTCCTACGAATTAAAATTTTAACGTCAAAAAGCATCAAAATTAGTTTGATTTAGTAAAGTGCGCTATCATTTCTAATTAAATTTTATTGTGATGGTAACAGCATTCACTTTTCATTCATTTTCAGCTACTCCTGCCCTTACAATGTAACTTTCAATGATGAAGACTCGAATGTAGCGGTAATGAAGGATGTCAGTCTATTTAAGCAATTTGGAGGAGGAACAATTGTAGAGAATTCTTGTCATGGCTTGCACAGAGATTTAAAACTCCTGAAAAAAGTGAGTTTGGAGACAGGTGTAAATGTAATTGTTGGAACAGGTAAGGAACATTTTTTTTGTTCTTAAAAAATAGACCTCATAGATGAAAAATGCATTTGATCAGCACTTCAACTTGTAGGTATTCCATAATTGCCCTGCCAAGAGTGATAACAGTTAGTTAAACAAAGTACCTATGACAAAATCGGAAAAGAAAAAATTTTCAATGAAAAATTTGGAAAAGAAAAAAATAAATTCAATTGTAAAATTTGCGTTTTACTGGGTGATCTAGACCACCCGTGTCAGATTTTTTTCTCGGTAAAGGTTGGACAAGGTTAAGAACTGCAGGGGTGCATAGGGAACTGACCAGAATCCAAAGTCCATCATCTGGAAGCCCTCCCCATGTCATTTGGGGGTACAAGGGGTCTTGACTTTAAAAGTCGAAGTTCCTAACAATATTTTGAAATGATTCTATCAAAATTGATAAGTAAGGAAAATTTTTATCTTCATCAGCACTAAAGTCCATAATCAGCCTGCCCTTGTTGTAAATATTGACCCCTAAACTTGAGTGATAGAAACATCCTGTACAAATTACCAAGTCGCTAAATTGATGTGGAGGCTTGAAAAAAACATTGATTCTCAGGCAATCAGCTAGAAGGAGCCCAAATCTGATGGTCCTATAATCCAAAGAGATAACAAGAGGTCAACCTTTGTGCAAATATTCCTTTTCAAAAATATATGCCTCTAAGGGCATATGTAATGCGAATTTTAAAATCTCTAACTGCAATGACTTAATTACTTATTTCCAATTTCCATTCAAACAGGAGCTAACACTGTTTGACTAATTTCAGGTTTTTATGTTAAGTATGCACAATCAGATTCAACGCTGAAAATGAAGACTGAAGAAATTCACGATTTAATTTACCAAGAAATTAACAGTGGCTGTGTTGATGACAATACTATTAAGTGCGGCTTTATTGGGGAGGTCGGCAGCTCTTGGCCAATATCTGGTAAATATGTGTGAAATTATTAAAAAATTTGAATTCTGTCTTTCAGAGCGCATGCCATTTTGCCTGGTCATTATTCTAAAGTGTCATTGCATGCCACTTGGAAAATTAAGTAATGATCCACAAAATTAAACAACCTCTTTCACATTGAACCAAATTGAATAGATATTACCATGTAAGAAAACTGGGAGTATAGATATAACTAATCAGAAACTTTTCAAAACTTGCGTTTGATAAGTTGGCAGTTGCTCAATTTTTATAATCACACACACAATAGACCAATTTACGTTTCTGTGCACAGCGGTGGTGTTACTTGCGGTCCATCTTCGATGGCTATTGGACGACTGCAACACACACTCTAGCAAACAGAAAGAAAGCAATTGTCAACTTAACTGATGCAAGGTCTACAGATTTTAGTGTTATTTAATAACAGTTTGAAGTTGAACTAAATAGATATCTTCTTTTGAGACAGTCCTTGAATGATGAACAATATTTTGGTGCAAATTTCCTTTTCTGTTTACATAAATTTTACATTATTCTTGGATGACAATTGAGTGAAAAAATTCATGCTTCCTACTCCCAGAAGTTGTGTGATAATTTTATTTAACAGATATTTTTCAATTTTTTTTTTTTTTTTTTTTTTTTTTTTTTTTTTTTTTTTTTTACCTCCTGGAAAGGAAAAATAAATCCAAGTAGACAGAGAGTTATCGAGAAATTTACAGTTTAACTCATAAATAATGCCTTTATTATTTCAGATTTTGAAAAGCGAGTAATTGTGGCAACTGCTCAAGTCCAGGCAGCACTGAAATGTCCTGTTACTTTTCATCCAGATCGAAATCCAAAAGCTCCATTTGAAATCATCCGGATATTTTTGGAAGCCGGCGGAAAAGTGGACAAAACAGTCATGTCTCATTTAGACAGTTGAGTTGCAGTTTCTAATCTATTAAATTCATTTTTAAGACTCGTCGAGATATTCCTCCTACGAATCACAGCAAGGGGCATGGGTTCGAGTATGTATTATCATTAAAATGATGGTACTACTTTTTTTCTAAGAAATTATGCGACCAATAGAAAAAAAGAAAATCCTAGCCATATAATTGACTTTGGTAACAGGATGTCTCTGTAGCCAGCTCAAATAATTGAACAATGCTGAATTTCATTGGGATTGGGAGAAATGTTGAGTTGTATGAATGGTACCTAGATTTGTAAAAGTATGTTGGGAGGATTTTTTGAAAATTCGTCATATTATAGCTTCACTTATATTTTCTAAACCATCTTTTCAATGTAATAAAAAAATGCAGAATGTTAGCTTCAATAAATTGGTCTATTTTCAGCCTTTTTTATCATGCTACCTAAAGGGAAAAAGTAAGTCCAGAACCCTTGAGTTTGTTGTCTCATTTCAAATTTAACGGAGAATGGTCATGAATATTTGGACTGAAATAATTTTGGAAGTGCCACACGCGAGTTTTCTTCGAAAGGACTATAGTGACAAGCACCTTAACAGTTTTTTATCATGCCAGTTAAAAATGATAACTAAACTTGCATACTTTTCCAGGAACTTTACACAAGAATGAGGACTTGTTGGAATTTGCAGGGCTCAAAACCTACTGTCAGTTTGACTTGTTTGGAAATGAGTGTTCATTCTATCAGCTAGCACCAGAGCAAGACATGCCGTCAGATGGGCAGCGCATAAATAAAGTAATGGCTCTCATAGAGGAAGGCCGAGGCGATAGAATACTTTTATCACATGATATTCATACAAAACACCGACTGGTAAGTGCGTAATAACCTTTTTGATGGACTCGACAGCTACGAAATAATATAGTTAGTTTTTATCATTCATTTTCCAGGCCTTTTTTTTGTCATTTATGGGTTTCTTTTAAGCACTTATTAAGGCATGAAGCTTTGTTACAGTGTATTGAAACATGCTGCGCATAATAGCGTTAGATATTAAAAATAATAGAAGGTGAGCCAATCCGCGGTGATACATAATTTATATAATTTACTCACATAGTGGGTTACATTACAATGCCAAAGCCTTTTGGTTTCACAGAATTATTATTAAGGCACCACTTATAGGTAGAAGAACAAAAAAATTTTAACTACAAAGGCATAATTTGAAAGAATACCATACCTAGCCTCTTTGTTTTGGTTTAATGATTGACCTCGTATTTTACTTCTAACTCCTTCATTATTGTTTTAAATCATGTCTTTGTAGTTAAAATTATTTTGTTTGTCTACTAATAAGAGGTGCCTTAATGATGGTTCTGTGAAACCGAAAGGCCTCGGCATTGTAATATAACCCATTATGTGAGTAAATTATGTAAATTACGTATCCCAACATATTAATCACCTTCTATTATTCTTGTTACAGTGGTTTTTAAAAAGATTAGTATTTTTTTGCTCTTAGGGAATATTTTCATGAATTTTTCTGCTCTGTTTGTTGTTTTTCCACTCCTTCAAAATCTGAAGGCTATATTATTCTACCCTGCCGGGTAATCAATACGCTCATTGCAACTAACTTGTTTTCACAGAATCTTGAAAATCTCTGCTTGCTTGGCTGAAGAACTCTTTAAAAAATACGCTCAACAGTGCAAGATTTGAGTTCATATGGTCATGAAAAAGCACAGGTTTTATCTATTTGTAACAAAATTTGTTTTATTCATTTCTTTCCCCATCAAAATTCCCCTGACAATAAAAGAAGTTTAAAATAAGATCAAAGCTATATTTATCTAACTAATGGGTCATTATTGTAAATGGTCGACATGTAGTCATCACTGAGAGCAACTAAAGTGCATCCAGATATAAATTACTCAGCAAGTGAGTGAAAATTTCCTTCTTATTTATCTTCTCATCGACTTTTTATTTCTCTCTTTCTTCTTTAAAATTGGTTTTAAAGGTCATTGCCAGTGGAAACATGAAAATAATATGTATTTCTTTCTATTTTACTTCTAGGTCTCTTTTGGAGGACATGGTTATGCCCACATTTTAAACAATGTAGTGCCAAAAATGAAAATCAGAGGTATCTCGCAGGAGATGATTGACAACATTTTAATGGAAAACCCTAAACGGTGGTTGGAAATGCCCAACTGATGAAAGAAATATTTACCTCAGATCAGGCGGGGTGAAGCTTTTATACAAACTTTATGTTAAATACTGTGATATAAATTTCACGTAAATGTTATACCAGATGCAGTCTCAGTTAAGTGAGATGATGAAATTCTAGCCATCTATCTTTAGAAGACACATAAGCCTTTTTATGAACTTGCTACATTTTACATAATAATAGATTCATTGATTATGATCCCATGTTATCATTTCATCTCAGAATCAGCAAGAATACATTTAAAATTGTTATGTTTTTCTATCATGTGAATGCATATCTAGATGTACAAGGCTTATCTCTAAACATCTGAAAAATTGCCATGAGGGACTGATTCTGAAAGAATTTGCCTTATCATAAAGAAGCAGTTTTCTCGCGATAATTCTGAACGTGAAAAATGTAGTAATGTACAATTCTTCTATGAAAAGCTACTGATAAGGTAGGATAAGTGGGATTTTGAGTTACAACGGAATAAAAAAACAAAAAAAAAAGGATAAGAAAAGAAAAACAAAATATCAAAAGTGAAAAAATAGTTATAATTGTAAATTACACCCTCGAATGAGTACTAAAGTAACAAAAGATTTATTGAAATTTTAAAAATAACATCACAGTCAACTATAAATAACATTTTTGTTAATTTAAAGGGATTGGTTCATATTGCACTTAGCATCGCACCATAAATATAAAAGCAACCATCTCTTAATCTGCTCTTAATATGTGCTTTCAAGTAATAACCATCAGCATTTCTTTTTATAAATATACTTTGACCCAATACACAAAGAGAGGAGGACAATGAATTTTAAAAAATAATTATACATACATACATAAAGTCGCAATAATTAAATAATTAATAATTAATAATTATAATTAATAATTATACATTCCATTGAAATATTTTTTGTGTCCTTCTCAAACTTTGCAAAAATTTTGCTCTGAGCTCTCTCATTTTGAAGGATATCAAAATGCAAGGATGCTTTGAGATTTAGTGGACACTGAAATCCCCTAGTTTCTTGCAATCCACAAGGCAAAATTTAAAATCTGTAGATCCTTCAGAAATAACTATGCATCTATTTTAACATTGGTTAACTCTGTCTTTCTTTTCTGCTTTTGTTCATACCATATGCCAATAATTTATGAACAAATAAATTAAGTGAATGTACTGAAAAACCGAAAATGTATCATAATTTTAGTGCCTAAACGAACTGAAATCTATGCTCTATTGATGAATGCAAATTCAGATAGTATTCTACAGCAGTCACTGCCGCTTGCTTTTGAAATTTGTAAGACTTACACACCACAGATTGCATTGAATATTTGATTTGGCAAAGATTCAAGCCGCTTAAAAAAGGCAAAGAAGATGACATTTTCAATGATAGTGTATATAATCTCACTCCTTTTCCAGAATCACCAAAACAAAATGAAAGTATTTTCTAATGAGACTTGAGAGAGATGGATCGCAATGTGTCCTTTTCATTCAAACGGATTTTTAAAATCAATTCAAATTTCGATTAACATTCAAACAAATTTGTTAAGTAAGCTCAGGAATATATTTATCGGCTCATTCTATTAGTAATTTCTTTTTATTATCAAATTAATGCATCCAAAACCTACAAACATTTAAATGAGAGTGAGAGGGAAAACAAGAGATCATTTCGACGGTAACAAGAGAGCAGTTACTTTATCAGTGCGAGGGTCATGAACAACGTGATAACCAAAATCTTTCAGTTGGCGATACAGCGCAATGTATTTGCAAGCAATAATTGTACGAGGAGTGACAAATGTGGAGCAGAACTTTTCTCTACTTGCGGCAGCTGAACTCATGTTACTATAATGCAAACACCGTACAAAGAATAAAACAAATGTATAGCAGTTGAATGTGTCTTCATTGTACCTGAAAAAGATACCAGATATATTTTGTATTATATTCTGACTCTTGAGGAGCAAAACAGAGGACTGAAATATAAGTTGTACGCTCTTGTGTTGGTGACTTCACCTTTTGTAATAAACAGAAAATGACAGATTTCAGTGTCTTGCTTTGAGTATTCATACCTTAAACCTGAGTAAATAATTTTTCAAACACTGTTGAAAAATGACATGAAATGAAAAAAAAATCCCTATTTTAAATTTGGGGTTGATGCATGAGAAAAAGCTCTCACTACAAATTATCATGCAGTAAATTTACAGTTATTATTGATTGCAATGAGGAAACTTTTTGATTTCAAATTTTGATTGATGTGGAGCTTGACCGCATAAAGCTTGAAGCAGAAATTTTGCAAACATCATTAACAGTAACCACCGAAAATTCTTAGCCTTTATTATGGAATTCATAAATCGGAAGAGGCAAACAAGTATCCATCCATAAAGCTTGAAGCAGAAATTTTGCAAACATCATTAACAGTAACCACCAAAAATTCTTAGCCTTTATTATGGAATTCATAAATCGGAAGAGGCAAACAAGTATCCATCCATGCCTTGAACCTAAACATTATTTCCAAATGCACTATGGACAGAACCATCTAAAAGATAAATATGTCATTGAATAAGAAACTATAAACTACTCTAGTCAAACTGTGTACCTGCCCACTTCACTGATCGGAACAGACAGTAAAAATTGTGAAAGACGAAACATCAACTTACTTTTCAGGAGTCCAGCAGTTTTGCTGCGCCATTTCCTCTAGAGTGTCATCCCAGTGTGACTTCCATGCATCATCCTCTAATTGGTTGACCAACAAGCACTGCGACCACGATTCAGTTCTATCCTTGCGTAATCCCCCGTTGTCAAACTCGATTACGATACCTTTTGACGTGGTCACGCCTATGTGCAGGTCTTGAGATATTCTGAAGTTACTGAAATTAGGGTAAATGTTTCATAAAAGTAAAATAAAAGAATTAAACGAAACAAAATTTTTTGAAATTGAGGGTTCAAAGGTTCTGGAATAAGCGACTTGCTTACTTCCTTTTATTTGCGAGAATGCATACATATCAATGGCTTAAATGTAACAATACGCATCTCCATTGCGGTGTTTCAAAATTTCTGCTACTAAATTTTTTTTCGAAGAGGAACAAGTCAACTTCATAGCTTGAAATTTAGGTATACAGAATATTCTACTAACAGAGAAGAAAAATCAAACAAGTGTTCAAGAAATTACGTTGACTTGTTTTCCAGGGGAAAAGTAAAGTATGACTGGAAGTCTGCAACATCGCAAACGGGGATATATGGTCTCGCACCTTAGCTATTGATGTGTGTGAGCTTCCATATAAATGCATAAACGGATTACATTTTGCAATAAGGAACTACTTACTATTTCTGGCTCTTCCATAAAAGCACCTTTCTGCATAGGGAAACCAATGGCATATAATGTTGTTCTAAATTGAGCCAGAAAGATTGGTTCTTTATTGCAAAACGTAATCCAAACGAATATTCGTCTATGCATCTGGAATCATGGGGTTCCCAAGTAAAATTGAGTCGGCCTGACGTCAGACTGATTCACTTTCACTAGGGTTGAATCCCAGAAAGCATCCCGATGGAGCGAAAAATATAAATGAAAAAACAAGGAGAGAAAAACTGTGTACAGTTGAGCCCCGCCCTACCCCTGTATTTTTTCAAGAATTGAGACTTGAAATTTTGGAAGTACCCATAGATTATAGAATTGTTGGAATATGAGGAAAAAGGAGACAAATTACGATCTGCTTACGAACTGGTTTATTCGTCGCCCATCGCTGGGGCGGTTATCAACGCAACTGACAAAAACGATATTGAGGATTGAAGATTCACAAACAGGAAAAGTTACATAATCATTGAGGTCGATGCACGATATAGATTTAGATAAGTCAACAAGAATACTGCTTTTGGGACCCCTAAAATTTTCTGCAAGACCACCTCGAGGGGTCTCAAGGAAGACCACCTACCACGGATCTTAACTCTTTTCTTCAAATAATAACTTGCCACTTGTGATACATTATTGAAAAAAACCTTTGGAGATTACTATTTAAACTAGAAGGAGCCTTTTCCTAACAATAAGCATGTTCGGAGACGGCGCGTGTGGCTTCAGAGGCCAAATTCCAAATACTTTGGTCCCTCGGCTGACAAAAGGGCGTAACTACACTTTTGATGAGCCCGGGAAATCATCGAGTTATATGGGCGAAAGGGTTCACCGTGAAGTGTACTTCCGTCCTTGTGTCAGGAGGACGATCAGTCCGTTGCATCATTTCAAAACCTGATCTACTTACACTTCAGCAGCGTGGATTAGTGAGTAAAAGTGGTTGTGTGGTTCATTTTTTGACGAGGAGTGACGACGCGCGACGCATAAGAATCGCCTTCATTGAGAGAAGATACTTCCTAGCGTGACCGCGGAGGCCAAATAGGTGCATCATTTGAAAACAAGCGAAGTTGCACGTAGATTAGCGAGATTGATTCAGATAAATTTTGATGAAAAGTGACGAAGCTTAAGAATCGCCTTCATTGGAAAATGATACTTCCTAGCGTGGCCTCGGAAGTCGAATAGTTGTATCACTTGAAAACCCAAGCGATAGAGAAATGGCACGCTTCGGACAATTTTTTTATCAAGAATGATGACGCATAAGGATCGCCTTCATTGGGAAAAGATACTTCCTAGCGTGGCCTCGGAGGCCGAATAGTTGTATAACTTAAAAAGCCAACCAACATTAACATAGCAGCATGAAGATATGCGAATAAATGCGCGATCGTTTCAGATACTTTTTTGATGAACAGTGACGGCTCAAAAAAATCGCCTTGTCATTGACAATTTTGAAATTTAATCTGTACTTATTTATGTATTATTAAGTTTTATGAAATTCCGCTGGAATAGATGAAAAAAGTGAAACTCACTTTAAGAAGTCGCCATTCGTTGGTTTCAACAAAACAGAACATGGGTACTGCTTGGCTCTGACGAATGGATACGGAACCCTATGGAAAAAGCATAAAGCAAAAAAATGAACATTTAAGGGCATGTGAAAAAATAGTATTTCAGAAACAGTGCTGAAAAAATGAGCACAAACAGAACTCAGATCAATAAAATTTCGATGGGGAAATTCATGAATCACGTATAGGTTTGCAACGTTAAAGATTTCTTTTCTTATTCTGTTTTTTAAACGGAAAACTACTCAACATTGAATATTTAAATCTTCCATGATATTTCTGCTCTGTGCGAAAAAAAATGTTGTGAAAACTTCATGAAATGGTGTTGATTCGTTCTCTTTCAAGGAAATAAAAATGGATGCTGAGATTTTGAAAAAGCTCAAACGAGATACCTACATGGTTTGGGAGTTTAACTGTCGATTTGGAGGAAGCTATGCAAAAAACGAACATACTGGTGGGTGAAATATATAGTACTATGTTGATACCAATATCTTATCGACATGGTACCAACAATTCCAACAAACGGTACCAACAAGCAGAGATCAACGTGGAACAATGTTAAGGCCAACTTAATAGAATGTTAGCATTGTTTTGGTAGCATGTTACTATCAACGTAGTTGGAGATGCCTTATTTTGGTGATAACATGCTCTCAACGCAGGGCCGGATTTACCTACTTGCCGCTCATGGGCCGCTAGTGTTTTGCCGCCCCCTTCTCATTCGTTTTGAAACATGAATGAAAACCATCAAATGAACGTGCCAGCGAAAAAGGGGTGCATAAGACGCGTCTACTGGTGTGAACACATTTTTTGGGAAAGCCCTATCAACAATACTAGCAAAAGTTCACGGAACTTTGCGCGAAAGTTAAGTTTCGTAAACCTATCTCTGGGTGGACAAGGCCTTCCATTCATAAGGAATGAACGAAAAAATTATGAAAGAACAAACATAAATGTGGATTAATGATTTTAACTTCCGCCGCCGCGCCTCGCAGACCGCACTGTGTTTAACGCAATGCGTGAAGTATTCGTACAGTCTTGTAGGCGCTGATATGTGTTACATGCCGATCGCCGCGCCGAGGGCTTCTCCTTTTCATCTCAAGTCCTCGTCATCATTTCTTTCCAGGTAAGTCGCGCCGTTCCAGGCCAAATTGCGTGTTTGGTTTCTCTCTTAACTCGACTAATTAAAGGTGCTGCCTCCTGTATCACTGAAAGATGACAAAAGTAGAAATTACTATACTCTCAGAAAATTAGAGATTTTGTCGCCTTTTCTCGTTTGTAATTTTTTTTTTCTAAATCCGAATTTTTTTTATTCCTACATTTAAAAAAATTGCAAAATTTGCCGCCCCCTATAGATTTGCCGCTCCCTATAGATTTGCCTCCATGGGCTGCGGCCCATGTGGCCACCCCCTTAATCCGGCCCTGTCTCAACGTGGCATCAGCATGCTAGTTTTTAGGAGCAAAAAGACTTGGTGATTATAATTCGCTGAGCATTGCTGATTAATTTCAACATTTTTATTTTCAAAATAAGAAAAATCGACCATAGCTAACCTGAAAGGAACGATAGTCTCTGACTCATTCAAATGCTTTCTACAAACTGGACAAATTTCTGGTAATTCCAAGCAAAATACTTGGCACCCACAGTGATTGAAACAGAGGATACCTGGATCTAGATTCATGTCTTATCTGAAACACACGCAGAAAAATGATTCATGTTTAGAAAATATTTGCGATCAAAAATGTCTAGAGTCATCTAACAAACCAATAACAATGTTTGCAAAAAATTTGCCGCACGAAAAAAAGAGGAGGCGCTGAAAAATCACGTTAACATTTTCGTATCTAATAGCTCTTTGTTTTAACCGGCGCGACGTTCTAACGTCACTTCAAAGTTTTACAGGAGAATATAACCAGCAAGTGCGATTTATGAAAGCCATCATCAATTTGCAGCCGTGCGTTTTTAAAAATGCAAAGCTGCATTTGAAGCTATGGTAAAGAATCGTTTGTCAAAGTGTTCGTCGCGAACACCCTGTTTCTCGAGCTTTTTTCATCAGTTTAAATAGCAGATCAATCGATACATCGCAAGGCACGCCACGCCACTGATGCCTTAGCTCATACGTATGGCAGGCGCATAGCTTTTTTCGTAGTCCCCACAGGTGTCATTTTACAGTATCTACATTAAGTTTAAAAACTTCTCAATAAATTTTAAACACAACATTTTTTCTTTATCACTGTTCACAAGGAGTACCTACACGAAACTGATCAGCATTCCAATCTTATTATGTTACTTGTAATAAACCAACCGCACGCATTTCCTGATACATGTGTTGAAAAATAGGCGTAAAAGTCCTCATTCAAAGACTAGTTACCAACGAAGAACCCAAAACAGAATATTACAATAGGTACTATATGTATGATCATTTACATCGTTTGCGTGGGGGGTTACGACACATTTTTCTCTAGAATCTGTGCTTTAGGCGCAAAAATGAATTTACCGTAGAGGTGACTGAATATCAGATGATAGTAAATAAAATCATAAGTGGTAGGTACTTGGTTTCCACAAAAACAAAATCTCTAGAGCTCTCCTTTAATTTCAAGTACAATATTTTGAAAGGACACATGACAGCAAGAAAAAAAAGAAAGAGAGAAAAAAAAACAACTATACAAATTCATATGCAGAAATAAAGTTAAGATTTTCGAATCACATTTGATGCCGGTGCAGACGTTCGGTTCCTCATATTTTGCAAAACGTCAAGCGGTTAGTACAGTGAGTAGATTTTCACTGATTTGAGGTACATATTCAGCGATAACTGAATAACATTTGGGAAGCAAAAAAAGTATAATCCAAGAGACATTAAATTGCACCTTTCAAGGAAACCACAATGGCAGTCCCTCCCGAAAAAGATCGTTCCGAAGTACGCAAGTTTTTGCTCCATTGTGTTGAAACATCGTGGACAACATCAGATTCAGAGGGGCTGACGGACGAATCGGAAGTTCCATGGTAATTTATTATTTTAAAATCAAATTCAGGGGGGAAACACTCGATGGACCCGTGAACTGGGGCCATTGTTAGAAGTGGCTTGAGAGATACGAGGGGATGAGTCATAGTGTTGACATGTTTCCATGACAACGCCGGCAAATCAGCTTGCCACGGAAGAGCGCGCTTTAATGGATCGTTAGTAGTGCTTTTCAACTACCGGCATTCCTCCGCGATTCCCATGGTCAGTTAGGTAAGTCACACTCTTGAGCTTATGGTAAAAGCATGCTTTTCATAATTTGATTATTTAATGAAATAATGCGTCAGTTGGGAAAATTAAACATAGCAACGCTACAACAGTTATAGAGGAACCTTCAAGTGGGAGGAAATGTCGGTTACTTCCTACTGGAGACGGTGTTATTCGCTGTAATTTTAAGACAGAGATATTTGGTAGGGAAACTATTTTAACCATTAAGTTCATGTATATTATGCAAGGAGCCCGTCAGGAATAAAGGAAAAAAATTAAAGCCTTTGATGAATTATTTTTGCTCTCTAAAATGCATTGGGGGGAAAAATGTTGGATTGAATTGGATTTTTATCGATAAATGACAGCCGTTTCCAGATGGATGATTTTTCCACAAGAGGATTGATACGAAACAATAATTTATTTTTCCTAAAAATCTTTAAAATGGCGCGAAAATGGAAACAACTCATACCTTAATTTCTTAATTTAATATAGGTGACTATTAAATATAATATGCCTAGGAATTAAATGGAAGTTCACTGTGGAAGAATACTTGGTCAATGACTGGTTGGGGGAGGAGAGGGGATACGAGATATAATTTTACACTAATAATTGAATTAAATGAGTTCTTACATGTTCGAGGTATATATACAGCGAATGATCGAATCCTTGATGAATGGATATTTTCGGTCGGAGACTTATCGATTCTTCTCAAACCACTTTTTCGAAAGTATTCACGATAGAAAAAATTGAAAACCCAACGACGTAAATTCAGATTTTTGACAGTTGGAATAAATTGATTTTGTAATATCATTCATTTCGTTGTCAAATTCCCAACCAATTGCTTTTTGGTCATTTGAAATGAGCGCGGCCTATACAACCTCCTTTGTTTTTTTGAAAGTCAGACCCTCTTTACCATTCACCTCGAATCAAGGGCTGAATCAGGTAAACACCATACCTTGTTCCACGTAAAATAACCTTTCTTATCTGCTTTCGTAAATACTATGACTGTAGTTTGTGCAGGTATGTGAACAAGAAATCTCATTTAGAGATTACAGGGCATAGTACACATTTTGACAATATCCAAACTCAAATCGCGCGTGAAAAATTGGCGTTTACGGATGACTTTAGAATTTTCAGACTCTTTCCAAGTATGGGAAGAGAGCCTAAACCAATGTAGGTCAAATTAGCTATTGAAAACCAACTTCCAAACTCATAAATGTGTCTAATTATCATTAACACTAGACGAAGTACATTAAAACGCTTGGATACAACTATTCGAGCTCCGCGGATGTCGGTGTTGCATGTGCCCGGAAGTGAAGGCGTTTTGACTATCCAGGATCAAGACGGAGAATTGAAAGCTCTCTGTAATTTTGGATCCTTTTAGTACAGCCCACCTTTGCGCCGCGGCACGGGTGATGCGGTGAGTGGCTATAGAATCAAAACGCCTTCAATTACGAGTGTATGCAACGCGGACATCCAAGGAGCTCGAATAGTTGCATCCAGGCGTTATGATGAAATTCGATTGGTGTTCGTTGCATGTGATAACTGAGGCCACTTTGCTCGTTTTTCATACGTATTAACTTAATTCCAACGTTGCCCATTAAGCCGATTAAGTAAACTATTACTGATTTTTATCGTGACATTGTCAATTTTACGAAACGCAGACTGATCGTCTAGTTGTAGTAAAATAGGGCTGGCCCTCAAAAGCTCAAAAAAATGAGGTATTCGCACATGATTTGTAGATTTTCAATAAACCTTCTTTGACGAGTTGTCTTTTATGTATTTCTAATGCGTATTGCATGAGTGCATATTGACTCGCGCATTATTACTTCAGATATTCTGTTGAATATTGATACGGTCAGCATCCTCCGCCAGGGTCCATTGGACTAATTGCGATTATGGGACATTTTGTCAACGATTTTTTGTCCGCGCACCTGTTTTTTCCAGTAGTTTACGTCCACGCGTTTTTTCGGTAGGGGAGTTTTGGTCCACTTACCACTTAAGACCCAAAGTTAATTGGTCCACATGTAAATACAAACGACAATTGCTTACTATGTTTTTGAATGAAAATGCTTAATGTCTTGAAAGAATGAGGGTTTGCTTGTGTTTTTTTTTATTTTTTTGTTTTGTTTTTTATTTAATCCAAAGGAGAAAAATGTATAGTTGATATTCTTGGTAAAAATGAGGGAGCGTCATTTCCATGTGAGAAAATTCACTCAAACTCTAGACACCTCTTTGGTGCAACAGGACTTTCAAGAAAATCCCATATTTTTATACCTGAACTGGGAAACCTTTTGATTTGCCTCAGCTAAAGGATCTCATATTTTTCCTGTGCATGATAATTTCGCCTCGGCACTGGTTTGCCGCAGCGCTTCGAGCTACATGATGGATGGCATCTTTCAAAAGCACGAAGTTCCCTCGCAAATAAATCGAGTGACGACAACAAAAAGAGAGCGGTAGTCGAAAAACTTACTGTCCTAGTATCTGTATTTAATAACGTTCAGTATGATTTTTAACTTCATTAGAGGAACAAGTGACCTAATTTAAGGAGAAATATCCTCAAATTTACCGCCGAGAAGATTTCCTTATGAGTTAATGAAGAAAATAATGTTTTCTTAAAGAAGAAAAGATGCTTTTCTAAAAAGGAAAGTCACTTACATCAAGCAGAAACCCGCTTTTGTTCACCTATTTTATTCTTGATTCAAAATAAAATCTTCTTGACGGCATATTCAAGAATGTTCCTTTATCTCTCTTATCTCGACTTATTTTGCAAGGAAATTTCCGAACTCTTAAAGGATGTCTGTCATTCTTATTGTTGGCATGTTGGAGTGCCTTCAATTTCGTATAATACTGTACAACACCTCTATTGAAAAATAGTGAGGCGCCGTGGCACGTGGCACGCTGCGGCGCGGCCAGCCAGCCAGCACGGAACGCGCATTGGCGCCTACAAACCTAAGGGATACCTCAAACATTGCGCAATGCGTGAAGTATCTGCTTAGGTTTGTAGGCACCAGTGCGCGTTTCGTGCTGGCAGCACGTCGTCGCATCACTCCGCTTTATGCCAGGGCCTATTATTTAAACTCCCGGAGTCAGCGTTTTTCAACTCATGATTTTTTTTATATATTTGCACACTCTGCACGGGTTACTTTAATTTAAATTGATAAACAAAATATATATATGAAAGGAAAATTTAATATGTGTTTTGTAAATATTAAGGTGTTTCCTTGTCGTATGTAATGATTTTCAAAGCACATTAATTTTTTCTTTCATATTTTGTGCTTTTACTGTGCTGCAGCGTGGTGTGAGCGCAACCAAACGCTCAAAATAGGACTATTTGACTCTAAAAGATCGATGTACAGATTGCATGCTTCTTGGTTTTTCCCTCTTTTATTCATTTGTGCATAGTTTCTTTCGACACAACTACTGCTCATTGACTTTAATATCGATGCCATTGCTTGGAAAAGG